GGAGGTAGGCGACACATATAAGTGTGGTCAGGAAAAACAACAGAGTAGCCCACACCGTCAGCAGACTTAGACCCATCGGTGAAGATGGAAATGGAGCGGGAGTGTGAAGAAAAGTACTCGAGGAAAAGGCGTTTGAGAACTTTAGGAGTTAAAGCTTGAGTGATGTGGGTCAGGGATTTGCAATATTGAGGAAGGGGGAGCCTCCACGGGGGCAAGGACGGAACAACACGAAGAGAAATATTAATAATACTAACCGAAAGAGAATGTTGCAGGCGAGACAACCGGACAGAAAGAGGGAGGTGGTGAAGGGGAACAGGAACTACAGGTGGGGGAAAATTCAAAGCACGACACAGGCGAGAGTGAGTGTGTTGTAAGGACCACGGTCACATCAGAGCAAGTGCGACAAATACGGCACCCCCGAGATCCTGCAGAAGGTCCGGGAGTATACCGGTAAGCCTACAGTATCCGCCTCCTCAATAACCCTTAATTGGAGAGGTGGATGGTGCAAGGAGAGTGCGCGTGGTCTACAAGGTATGGGTCTCACCAAGAGCGACCTCGAGATTTGCTCCATGAAGGCCCTGACCTGGACATATTCTATATACAGAATATGGTCCAAGGCCACGTCAAGGGGCAGGCCTCCCTAGCCCCGGGATCACTGTGCACAGGGTGCATAAGGGTAACTATAGTCACGCTTAGGTGAACCGCAGCCAAGTCAGCTGGTATAGCCAACTATCTAAGCAGTTTCGTCATCTGGAGTACCACTTCTCCTAATGGCGTCTCACAAGAGGGTGGATGACCTGGCAGAGCCCGCGAGTAGATAAGGCGGCGACCGGAGGGACCCCATGCGCATACATGATAACCCTCCCGCTCCGGGGCCTAGTTAGGAGCATCCATTGTGTCTAGTTTTCCATGTATGCCGACGTCAAATCATCATCCCTGCCGATTGGGCAGCCTGCTGCTTTGGCCTTCAGCGTTTGTTTGTTCTTTTTAAATGTTATACTGTGCACCCCTACCTATGTGTGCTGTGTCCCATATAGAAAAAACCAACTACAAAAGAATTTTCCATTAATGTTTTTGTTTATTTTCAGGTTATTATTATGTATTATTAGTATCATCTTAACTCTTGTGGGTGTGATGAGATCTGCCATATATGTTTATTTTAGTTTGTGTGTGTTAGGGTATTAGGTATGCTTAGGGGTCCAACTCGCCATGCCCTGTGGCTGGGGGGATCGGGCTCCGAAGCTACATAAAAACCCTATACCCCCCCGAAGTGGCAAGGGGAGTTAGGGGACAAAAATTTTTAGCGAAGACAGTAGCGATCTCGGCGGTCCTGGAAAGACAGGAAGCCAGTGGCAACATACAAGCTGAGGGTAGGAGTCGAACGAAAAGCACCAGAGCTGAGGTGCAACCCAGTATGGTGCAAAGGATCAAGACGGCTAAGAGTAGAAGAAGCAGAAGAGTAACCATAATCGAATTTAGACAGTATGAGAGAGGAATGCAAAGAGAGGAGCGTGCGCATATCTGCTCCCCACGAAGTATGTGACTAGGTTAAGGACCTATGCCAGAAGGGAGGGAGGGAGGAAAGAAGACCATTGAGGGCCCCCAGAAAAAGAGTAGCGCTCAGAATAACACTACCCTGGGGTACACCTTCGTATTGCTAAAAAGAAAGAGAGAGTGTGGCACCAAGCCTGACTCGAAAGGAACGATGACACGAAGGCCAAAAGAACGAAGTTGGGACAGCATATGGTATCTCCAGGTTGTGTTATAAGCCTTTTCCAGGTCAAAAAGAACAGCAACAACAGGGGTTTTCGCAGCAAAAGCCGTACGAATATAGACCTCCAAGTTCACCAGGACATCAGTCGTGCTACGGTACTTGCGAAAACCAAATTGAGAAGGAGAGAGGTGGTGATGGTGTTCCAAGAACCACATCAGACGAACATTCACCATACGCTCAAAGAGTTTGCAGACACAACTCATGAGGGCAATACGACGGAAGTCTTTAGGGGATGTCCCGAGAGACCCCTGGTTTCCGAATAGGAAGTACAACGGCATTGAGCTAGTCCTCAAGGACTGACGACGACTCCCAGACCTGGTTATACAGACTCAGTAAAGACTGAGACGTGCACGGAGGGAGATGGTGAAGCATCTCATAATGAATGTCATCCGAGCCCGCTGCTGTAGAACTGCAGAGGGCCAGGGCAGACTGAAGTTCAGAGAGAGAAGGGATCGTTATAGGCCGGGAAGGCAGAGATGAGTGCGGAAATCTACTGGATATGAGATTCAAGAACGGGTTTACGAAGAAGAAAAGATTGAGGAAGATGAGAACCAGAGCTAACAGAATTAAAGTGGGAACCCAGTTCGGTAGTGGCCGTAACTGGATCCGCCACAAGAGTACCACAGAGGTGAAGAATCGGCAAGACATCTGGAACGAACTTACCCGCAATCTTGCGGATCTCCTTCCATATCTGCGGTGGAGGAATATCGGACGTAATGGTGGAAACATAAGATTGCCAACTCTCACGCTTAGCTGTACAGATGGTCCTACGGGTCACCGTATTCGCTTTCCGAAACAAAATAAAAGACTCAGCCGTCTGCCGGCGTCAGTGTTTCTTCCAGGCTGCACGCTTACAGCAGACAGCCCGAGCACAGTCTGCATTCCACCAGGGAACGCACTTCCGCGTGCCCCGGGAGGTAGAGCAAGGAATAGAGCTGAGGGCAACGTCAAAGATGGTGTCAAGAAAAAGGAGGAGGGTGCGAAGAAGAGGCAGAGAGAGTAGCACGGAGGGTGAATAGGTTCCAGTCAGCTTTGGCAAACTGCCACCTAGGGAAGGAGAGGAGAGGATGAAAGGAGAAAAAAGAAACAAGGATGGGGAAATGGTCACTGTTATGGAGGTCATCAAGAACCCGCCACGTGAGATCTAAGTAAAGGGACGACGAGTAGAGAGAGAAAATCAAGACAGGAGAGGGTATGAGTTCAAGAATCCACATGAGTGGGCTCACCAGAATTCAGAAGAGACAGGAAGAAGAAAGGATGAACGGTTCGAGAAGGCGGCCTCGGGTGTTTGTCAGAACATCACCCCAGAGAGTATGTTAACAGTTGAAATCACCCAACAGGAGCCCTGGCTCAGGCAAGGAGACCAGGAGGTGCTTAAGATCAGGAAGGGAAAGCGGGACATTTGGGGGGAGATAAATGGAACAGACTGTATACCATTTACTCAAAAACACGGGCAGCAGAACAATGGATAGGCGATGGAAACAGTAGGGGAGACGAAGGGAATATCAGTACGAATCAAGAGAGCAGTAGAGTTATGGGCCCCAGCAAGAGCTGAGGGGTGAGAAAGAAAGGAATAACCACGAAAGCGACCATGAAGAGAACCAAGCATCGGCTCCTGGAGACAAACACAAAGTGGTGAAAACTGTGTAATCAGAAGTTGGAGTTTATAGAAGTTGGCATAAAATCCACGAATATTCCATTGAAGAATAGACAATCAAAAAGAGAAGGGACAGCAAGAAGAACAATGAAGAAACAAAGGTAAAAAAGAACACAGATATATTAAAGAAGCTCAGGATCAGGGTCAGCAAAATCAGGGTTAGGAGGGCATGGGTAAACTTAGTAAGGATGGCGGGAAGGGAGTGGGAGGACAGACTAGAGGCAGACGGACGGGGTCCAGAGGAGGGGGGAGATAACCCAGAGGGGCTGTCAAGGACATCAAGAGGAGGGGAGGGCAGAAACCGGGGAGCGCACCTCAGCAAGGGTAGCAACCAAGAGGGAACTGGGGGCGTAAGAAACCTCCATAGCTGGGACAGGGGACCCGACTACCGAAATGGGAGGGGACGTAGGGATAGAATCATAGTTGGGGGGGGGGGGCGAAGAAGAAAGCAATGCCTTCTTACCCGCTGGGGAGGAGGAAGGAGAGAAGCTAGGCTTACGTTTCTGACTCAAACAGGTGTTCCAGCATCAATGTACTGGGCGACAGACTCAATAGTCTCGGCAGGAGAAGAAGAACGGGAGTGAACAACATGAAGATTGCTGGTAGGATGATGGACATCAGCCTGGACAGACAGGCGGTGTGGAGGGCCAAGAGACTGTGGGGAGGGTTGGGAAGAAGGATCGGGGGGTAAAGGAAAAGACACAGGAGACATGATGGACAGGGTAGGAAGAGGGAAAACTCCAGAAGGAGAATCAGGAGGGAGCCCTTCCGGGACAGAACGTAAAGGAACAGGGGAGGAGGTGGTGGGCGTGTCCGGGTCCAAGGCCTGGAAACGGTTGTGGGACTGAGGAAGGAGGGAAGGATGAGGAGAGGTAGAACACAACACGCGAGTATGAGATACGCCAGTGAAAGAGTGGAGACTGCAGACTTGGCGTCTCGCTTCAGGAAAAGTCAAACGATCCCGGTGTTTCAAGTTGAGGACTGCTTCCTCAAGCTTGTAGTGGATACACATGCGGGAAAAGGTAGGGTGGGCCTCACTGCAACTGAGGCAGCGAGCCTCGGGAGATGAGCAATCTGTCTTAGAGTGGCTATCGTCCCCACACATGGGGCATAGAGAAACAAGACTTGTACATTTGAGGGCACCGTACACGGATTTCCAGCACTTATTACAAAGTTTAGGAGAGGGGATGTACTCCTGAACGGAGCACCTGGCATCAGCAAGAATGATAAGAGGGCAGAAGGGACCAACTATCGAAGGTGATTTTTACAACTCGAAGGGGCTGACGGCGGCGACCACTAGGGGGTCGAGTGAACGTGTCCACCTGGAGGACAGGATGGCCTTGGGCTTCGAGGATATGTTTATACCCTCATGGCAGTCTTTAGGTCCCTAACACCAGTTGCAACATGGTGCGGGAGGAGAACAGTGCCAGCACTGGCATTTAACCGAGCGTTTTTGAAGACCCGAACAGGGGGTCTCCCCAATGCAGGACACTGCAGCTAAGCGGGAAGCTACATCCGGTGAAGGAGCAACGACAACACGTGTACCTGAACGGGTGGGGTTAAAAGTAACAGAGGCATCCATAAAATCAACAAGGTGTTTATGGAATGAGAAATCGTCAGGTGTAGAATCCAGAGGGAGATAAAAGTATTTAGCCCACGAAGCAGGACCAAACAAGGCTTCGTACGTATTAGTATGGGAAGGGACGTGTGAGTGCGGCCATGGCGGGGACGGCGTTGAGAACCCCCAGAGAGAGAGAGAGGGGTTAAAAGGTGCAGTAGTCACAATGAGAGACTGAGCCGCACTAGGGGACGAGGTGGTCACCGCTGGGGGCGTGTGGCCCAACCCAACCACAGAGGGAGGGAGTAGTCAGAAGGGTCAAAGGAGGAGCTAGGTCTGGGCCCAATGTAGCGGGAGCTACAGAGCCCGGCCTTCCAACACAGTCCGACTCGGGGGCTTGGTCGCTCACCCCACGAGCCTGAGAAGTCATAAGAGGAACAGTATTCAGCAACATGAAAACGAAAGGTAATACTTTCATTTACGAATATGCCCCCTCACCCACCACGGAGCCACAATTAGAGGACCCAACAAGACATGTTGCTGGTCTTGCTGGGACCCCCTAGGGATACGTCATGAATATACGCCCCACAATCGCCACCTTAAGAACCGTCAGTCCGTCGAGGTCGGGTTCAACGACGAAAAAGAGGATTGACAATAAAAGCGTCCCCTTGTTCGAGACGTTGGGTACTACAGTTCTACAGGCGAGAGAGTGTACCTCCCCAAACACCCGGGCATCAAAACAGAAGTAGTCCGAAAGAATAATCAAGACTGGCAAAAGATCGGCAGGAAATGACAATTAGAAAGAAGACGGGAGGGGGGGGGGGGAAAGAAAAATGAAACACAAGGAAAAGGAAAAGATTTCTGGCAAAATTGGTGAAGACAGCAGCAGGAGGAGCATAAGACTTCAAAAGGACAGAGGACTGACCCATGGAGCATCACACTCCGGCAGCCGCCCACCAAGCCCCCCTCACGACAACAACGGGCCAGAAAGGGAGGGGGGAGAAACTGAGAAAGCGGGAGAGGGCTAGAAGGGGAACGCAACACACAAGCGTAAGACATGCCAAACAGGGAAGATAGCAAACCTTGCGTCTTGCTTCAGGAAAATACAAATGATCACTATGTTTCAATTTGTGGATGGCTTCCTCAAATTTGAAGTGCACACATGTGCTGGAGAAGGCAAGATGGGCGTCACTGCAGTTGAGGCAGAGCTTGGGAAGAAGAAATGACCCAAGGGGCATAGATACACCTCACTTGTGAACCTTAAGAGACCATGCCCAAATCTCCAGCACCTGCTTCAGATGTGAAGAGAGGGGACGTACTCTTGAACTGAGCATCTGGCACCAGCAAGAATGAAGGAAGATGGAAGGGACCTACTATCAAATATGACCTTCATAATGCAAAAAAGGTTGACGACGACGACCACGAGGGGGTCGAATGAAGGTATCCCCTAGGATAGATAGGCCTTGGGCCTCACGGATATACTTAATATTCTCGTGGCAGTCTTTCAGTTCCCTGTCACCAGTCGCAACATGGTGCGGAAGAACCCATGCAAGCATTCAACCGGGCATTTTTGGAGATCTGAACAGGGGTCTCCCCCAATGCAGGACAATGAAGCCAAGTGGTCAGGTGCTTCCTGTGAAGGGGCTGCAATAACATGGGTACCTATGGGTGGAGTTAAAGGTGACAAATATATCCACTGAATCAGGTGCTTATGGAGGAATAAATCATCAGGATGAGTAGGGTCAACATGACTAAGATCAAAATGCTTAGTCCACTTAGCAGGACCAAACAAAGCCTGGAAAGAAGGAGATTGGGAAGGAATCATGTGCGTGCAAGTGCAGAGGTGACAGCACTGAGCACACCTGTAAAAGGATAACAGGAGGTAAAAGGAGGGTAGAATGGGGGTAAAAGGAGCAGTTATGACAGAGCCATGCCAGGTGATGAGGTCACCACTGGGGGCTTGGGGCTCCCCTCCCCACCAGAGGTGGGAGGGGAGCAGAGTCAGTCTGTCAGGAGAGTCAGAGTAGTAGCATAGTCAGGGCCCAGTGTAGCGGGGACTACAGAGCCCGGCATTCCAGCATAGTAGACTCGGGAGGCCTGGTCGCCTACCCCATGAGTTTGAGAAGTTAGAGGGGGGTCAGAAAAAACAAACACGAAAAGAAAAAAAATAAACGAATAAGCCTCCATACCTACCATGGACCCACAATTAAGAGGATAGGACACCCGACAAGACCCCCCCCCCCAACTTCAGGGATGCATTGTGCATATACACCTTGCAATTGTCACCTTAAGAGCCATCAGTTCATCAACATCGGGCTCAGCAACAAAAGCAAAGTTTGACAATAAAAGCGTCCGTTTGCTTGACGTCAGGTACCACAGTTCTACGGGTGAGAGGGTGTCTCTCCCCAAACACCTGGCATCAAAACTGAAGAAGACATCAGAAAGAACATTCAAGAATGGCAATAAGTCAGCAGGTAGGGAATAATTTGAAAAGGAGAAGCGGTGGGGGAGGAGAAACGAAACATGAGGAAGAGGAAGAAACTACTGTGCCAGCAAAATTCGAGAGGACAGCAGCAGGAGCATAAGGTTTCAAAAGTGCAGAGGACGAGCTTTCCTAAGGAGCATCACATTTCAGCAGCTGTCAACTCAGCCCCCTCAAGACTGCAATGTGGAGGGTGCAAACATGGTGCCAATTTTCAAGAAGAGGGATGGATCACGTTCATCGAACTACAGTATCAGCCATTTAGTATAACGTCCATATACAGATATCATAGTGGGAAGTTGCTTTAAATCAATAATGACAAATAGTATTTGGCTCATCTTACATGCCTGTTGAAGATTTCAGGGATTAATGTCCCAATGGTCTTGTCTTTGGCCAGGCTTCCTGGTTGCTGGTCTGATCTGCCAGACTGTTTGATGCAGCAGCTTACAGCCTGACGTGAGTCACAGCCTGATCGATCAGGTATCCTTTGAATGTGCTTGTCACTTTCTCTTTTGAATACTGACAGGTCAGTCAGTTATGTCCTGTATGTGTGGGGGAGTGCTGAAAAGGCTTATCCCTTTGATATCGATTAACTTCTCTCAGCATGTCTACCTCTGTTCTTCAGTAGGGCTATTTTGCCCATACTAACATGCCTTTAGTCTCATGTGGTTTCATTTCTGTGTGCAGATTTAGAACCAGTCCTTCCAATATTTTCCAAGCGTAGTTTATCTCTTCTGCCTGCACTCCAGGGAACACAAATTTAAAATGTTTGAATTCTTAAATGCCATTTGATAAGGGATTCACAGTATGGGCATCCAAATGGCTAGTCATGTTTTAAAAATTTGCCCTCGAACATTAATGAACAGGGTTATGAAAAACATAGGTGAAAAAATTATTTGGATTTAGCAAAACGCACATTCGCTATTATAAAAATTTATTCACAAAATACTTTCAATTCCATTAACAGTTGTATGCTACATTTTAGTATTCCAGAATGTTTTCCTTTGTATTCATTTCACTATTGTGTATATGCATATGATAAAGTACACAACCTCAAGAAATAATTTATTTATCTGCAGTGGTAATGCTTAAACCACAAATAAGTATTGCTTGAGAGAATCCAATTGCTGGAGCAAGCTCAACATATGAGACGTCAGCATCGAAGCACTGATTTACAAAGAACTGCCTTGATGTTCACACTGACTAGATATACCTGTATTTGTTAAATACAGGATGACAAATATAATACAGAATGATTACCAAGGTGTAACAATCACAGCAGAACATCTGAAGGACACCATTAGGTTGAAGTATGCAAGAGTTTATCCATAACTTTAGAAAAAGATCATGCACTTTTATACGTGATGATTATACAACAATCTCAAATAATGATAAAATATATGCTATTATTATATACATGCATATATTTAAAAACAATATTCACACATGGCCAAGTTTTCTAAATATAGATAAACCACTTACACGTATCACAAGAATTATGGTAGAAAACTTTGGATTATGTCAAAAAATCTATCATTGAAGGATATACAAGAGTATCACATTAATTTCACTAACACTCCTACTACACTATTGTAGGTAATTACAATCACAAATTTTAATAAAATTCCTATCTTGTTCACCTGCCAAATTGGTGCAAGAACACCAAAAACAGTTATAAGGCTTTCTCAAAAGACATCCAATAACATTGAGCAAGACAAATCTTTGCCAGAAAAAACTATCTGAAAAAAAGCAAGTAGTGCACTTATACACACTGAATTGACAAGAACCACCATTACATTCTTTCCCTTTAGGCACAAACTAAAATGTAATTCGAGAAACAATTTCAAAAATAGAATTTTAATCATGTTTCCATCAAGCAGTATCAATAGAATGAAATGACGAGGAAAAAACACTATTGACCTCAATAGTTTCAGCTCATAGAAAATGAGCCTTCGAGCCAATTCCATAGCACAAAATTTGATGTGCTTTTAACTCTGGTGCAAAGAACAGTTACTGCAAATACAGTACTGTATATTCAGCTGCTTCTAGTGCTCAGTTAACCAAACTTTATTTTCTTTTAACCCAATCCACTTCTACTTATGCCCGACACTAAACCCCAATTTCCTATTACATAAGCCTAACCTTATTAATCGAGCTCTATCCAATGCATATATTTAACAATGTGCTTACAATTGTCATTATGTCAGAAAATAGTACAAATAAATATAATTAAATGTAAATATAAAACCTAAGTTTAGGAACATTTGTTAATGGAGTTCTTGAGATTATCGTGCGCTTAATTATGTTTGAAATTATGCCCATGTATGGAGACTAATTTTCAATATACCGTACCTACACACTATGCAAGAGCAATGGGTTGCAACCCATTCAGTGGCAGGAAAAGCATATTAAGAAAACAGGCGATTTATGAAATGGCCAAATGGCTTTGACTGGATTATGCTCTACACTTCCCTCCCCACCCCAACAAATATTGTGTGTATAAATATACATTAATTGTTAATAAATGATACAACTTTTTCCTTTACCTTCAAACTTGTGCCCAGATTGATTAAGTGATAACTAGGCAAATTTGCAGAGGAAGTTAATACACTCGGCAAGTGAATACTGTACAACATTAATGCAAATACTTTGTGAAATGACAGACTGTCAATAAATATCAGAATTTTCAAACACTTGCCCAGTTTAATGAATGGCCTATTATTTAAATCTTTCAGAGCTGTCAAACGTTTTCACACCATAACATGACAATATTTTACACACTTTTTAATTAAATCATACCGAAGACACTAATTTAAATATTTTATACCTAACACTGTAAATGATAGCACAAATTTTGCAATTTCTTGACTATTGGCACTGAAATATATATTTCTTGGTCAATAAGCAAGCCAAGAAGCATACAACATTTGTTAAATGTATTGTCTCAAATATTATGGACAGGAATAATATACCTTACTTTGTCTAACATATGTTTAATTCCAGGACAAACTAGTACTGATACCGTATATATATTATATCCATTGCTGTAGCTACTTTAAGAGAAAGTACTAAAACAATGATGCAATACGCATAGACTTTTTTTTTTAGGAAAAAATGTCTCAGGTAATACTAATATTTGTAACCATTTGATTTCATCTGGTAGGATGGATCTTTGGCAATCAAAACTGAAAAATCAATTACACATTTCTTGAACTCAAAACCTCATTAATTACCATGATGCACTTGTCAACCAGTTCCATCTTGCACACCATCTTCTCTTACACTTTAAATCACTCGCCCAATTTTTTGAAAAATACACTAATATCTACAGATACAATTACATTTCAAGGATAATGCATCTAGTGACTACATTAGATGCCGATTTTCAAGTAAGGTACTATCATTCTTACCAAATCAATTGTGAATTTATTACATAGTATACATGTGATACAGTTTTAAACAAAACTCAATTTAGAGAAAAAAGTTATAATTCGTTAAGAAGGTATTTTAACACTAACAATAATTATTTAATTTCAATTAATACTGTAAATTAATTAATGTCTAGTACATTTATTGTAAAATATTATGGAATTTTGTTTTATATACAGACAAAAATGGATTTTGTGAATAATAAAATTATACTATACTTCAGATATTGAAGATGTTTTATTGTTTCTTACCCAGAATATGTATACATGAAATTGATCTGCAGTTCCTTTAGAGAATAATAAAATTGCAATAAACAGAATCAGCCAGTATCAAAATGTAATTCTCAGACTTTTCAAATAGAGACCATGAATTATAATATTAGCTGCGGATGAAAGATGCAATACTGTACTTAAAAGGCCTAAAGCCAAACCTTAAATTACCCTCACATTTATGTTAAGTTTGATATCATTCTGATGTGCCTAAAGCCTTGTGGAAATGTATACTAACTGTAAAATGTATACTCCCCCAAACTTATTTTTTACATGCTGTGAATAGATAGATAAAGGGGTTGTTTTCTGAACACAATATTTCAGCGAAGCTGACCAAGGAACAATTTAACCAAGGAGTGCCTACGGACGGATAGAGGTAACATGGTCCCCCTCCATACTTATAGACGAGTGCAGTATACAAAATTGCTACCCTACCCCTACTCACTCCCCATCAAATTATATAAAATTAATTTAAGTTTAGTGCAGTACTAATTTGTTTGAGCATATTGGTAGTACGAGTGGGAAGGTGTGATAATGTCTTTCATTAAAATTAAGCTAAATAGCATCAGAAAATATAATCCAAAATTGCAGCACAAAAAATGGCAAGAAATTATATTAAGCTAAACCTTATTTTTACCTATAGTGTGTAACCCAAGGCTGAGCCAATTATCAAAGCTCTATACATCAAACAATGTGGCAACAAATGTGCTGGGATTGTTTAGAATGTGCATTTACATAGGAATATCTTATACAAATCAAAATTAAAAGGAAACTAGTAGATTAACTAGTACTGAATGTCCAAATCTATGAAGGCACCTATATATTATCAAATTTGTTTAACTGGCTCTCTAAGTTTGGCTTTAATGAACAGATTTTTTTGGAATCTGCTTCTTAAAAATATTTACACACCCCTGGTGTTAAGTCTTTTAGAAAAAATAAAAGCAATATTAACTATTCCTCCAATTACAAATGGTTACAAATAAACTTGAGGAATGTTGGTTTCATGTTTAGAAACCCAATGTCCCAACTCAAAAAATGTTTACTAATGAAATGAATACATACTCGCATATCAGAGCACTTTAGTGCAATTGACTCATCATCATGGCTTTAGTCATTATTCCAACCAAGGCATAATGGTTGGTGTATCATTCGTTTATCATATTTCTAAATTTGCTACAATCCCATAAGCTCCAGGAACCACCTCACACTTCCTGTTCTTCCACATCTTCACTGGTCATCCGCCCCGGCCACAAACCTCATTTGATCCACCACTTTCACCTGAAAGAAAGATAATTGCTAACTACTTTGAAGTCAGGTGTTCAAAAAAATTAAGTGGAAAGTAATGATAAATTAATGTTCTATCCAGGAAGCTGCACATATGCACTCAGTCCTCCATGAATAAAAATTGAGGTTCACTTCCATTAAGCGGGAAGTCTCCATGCTGCCTGGAAAAACAATTAACATATCCTTACCTAATCAAATGAACCTATCCAAGCAATTTAACCATAAAGGTGAAATATGAGAGCAATACAATATTAACAAGCTATTACTAACAGAGTTTACAGGAGAGGGACCCAGGTAAGAGTGAATTTGTCATTTTATTCTAACAGTTTAGGTTTGCTCACCTGAACTAAAGGTTGGAATACTACTTACAGCTCTTGGCTGCATCATCATCCTCAGCTGGCCAGCAAACTAGACATTTATATGTACAAGTATTAACTTCACACAAATGCATGATGCTAATTTTATATGGGCCATAAACAATTTGCAATAAACTTCTCAAAATTACATGCATAAAGTAAAGCATCGTAGAAATGTTATAAATATCAATACTGTATTACAAAAACCAAGCACTGAATGTAATAAAACATTTTTCTGGTAGAACCCACATGGCACCATGTAACATCTCGCTGAGATTGCTCCAATCTACCAGTCACATCAGTTGCACGAGTTTATATGGCTTACCACAGACCAGAGCCAAAACCTGGCTCCTTCACACAAGGTGCAGATAGCAGATGACTTATGACCACACATACACCAGTATGATCATACTGAGGCTGGTGTATGATGTGCTCAAACTGTATAGTGATATCTTGGCTGATTAGCCTAGTATCACGAATATTATAATTTATAGCTAATCTTCTTTTGACAGTACAGTGGCACCTCGACATACGATTGCCCCTACTTACGATAATTTTGAGTTACGATATAAATTTTATAAAAAACTCGACATCCGATATTCGTTGGTACACGTTCGGGTCGACTGAGCGCGTGGTTCCTGGTCACGCGGCCGATCTGCCTCAGTTTACTACAAATCTCAAGTCAACGATATCCACCATACTGGCTAAGAAAAAGGACATTATGAGTGCTAAAGTGGCAAAAGGCGTATCAATAATCACGAAACATAGAACACAAACACTTGAGGATGTTGAACAGTTATTATTAATTTGGATACACAACAAGGAGTTAGTGAGTGATAGCGTTTCGGAGGCCATCATTTGTGAAAAGGCAAGAAAATTGCATGAAGACCTTTTAAAGAAAACCCCTGGAACGAGTGATGCAGAAGTGAAAGAGTTTAAGGCGAGCAGGGGATGGTTTGAGAAATTTAGAAAAAGAAGTGGAATTCATAGTGTTGTGAGGCATGGGGAGGCTGCCAGCGCAGACAAACCAGCGCCTGAAAGATTCATTGGCGAATTTAAAGATTTTGTGCAGAGTGAGGCATACCTACCACAACACGTGTGTAATTGTGATGAGACAGGGCTATTCTGGAAAAGATTGCCAAAGAAAACATACATTACCAAGGAGGAGAAGTCATTGCCTGGACACAAGCCTATGAAAGATCGGTTTACTCTTGTGTTGTGTGGTAATGCGAGTGGCGATTTGAAAATTAAACCATTGCTTGTGTATCATTCCGAAAATCCAAGGGTTTTCAAAAAATATAATGTGCAGAAACACAAAATGTGTGTGATGTGGAAGGCTAATGCTAAAGCATGGGTGACTAGGCAATTTTTTACGGAGTGGGTGAATATGGTGGTGTGCCCTGCCATCAAAAAATATTTGCAGGAGAACAGTTTGCCACTCAAGGCCCTGCTTCTCCTTGATAATGCTCCTGCCCATCCTCCAGGCTTGGAGTACTCATTGGATGAGGAATTTAATTTAACACTTTAACGCAACCAGACCATAAATATACGGCCCACTTGGCTAACGGGTTCCGCAACCGCGCTGTAAATAGCCGGCCGATCTAAAAAAAACATATACAATCCAATTCTTATTCGATCGACTTGGGGTTAGTATGAAAATGTTTGCCATTAAATTTCCGTTTTCTCTAATAGGCACATGGCCTATTTGAGAAAACCGCATTGTATTGTAACTTAGAGGAGAGACTATGGAGTTGTTGTCACAACGAGAGTAATCGCCCACTTCACACACTCTTGGTGTGGGCCGCGATCATGATTCTACATTTATATGCATATGTCTGTGTAGGGAATATTATTGCGAGTTCAGAGATATAAAACATAACGCTGTATGACTAATGTGGAGCTGACAACAAACAAAAGAGTATGAACATTTTGTTGCTGTTTGGGCGTCATGGCGAGTGATCTATGTTTTATTTATTTCGTGGTGGGATAGCTAATGCTTTGGTGACATGTTATACATATGATCTTGTAGAGAATTTTATTGCCAACACATTGATACCAAAATGAAATACGTAGCTCAAGAATTGGTGTCAGGAGAGTGAAAAGATTACACACTTTTTGGTATTTACGCTCAAGAGCCCAAAACGCCGTGCGCACAATGCGCTATTTTTTTTCACGGGGGCCCGTGCGCTTTAAAGTGTTAAGTTTCTTACAATAAAGTTCCTTCCTCCCAACACCACTCCTCTACTTCAGCCTATGGACCAGAAAATTATTGCCAATTTTAAGAAACTTTATGAAAGGGCACTTTTCTGGAGATGTGTCGAAGTGACGGATGCCACAAACCTCACCCTCAAAGAGTTCTAGAAAAACCATTTTAACATTTATAGTGCTTTAAAACTTGTTGACAAAGCCTGGCAAGAAGTGACTGTAAGAACCATGATCTCTGGCTGGAGAAAACTGTGGCCCTGAATGTGTTGCAGAGTGAGACTTTGAGGGGTTTGAGCCTGAACCTGAAGTGCCTCTCGTTCAGGAAATTGTTTCTCTGGGTCGGCAATTGGGTTTGGAGTTTGATGGTGGTGATGTGGAGGAGTTGGTGGAAGAACACAATGAAGAACTCCAAGCCCTTCAAAAGGAGCAGCAAGAAGAGGTAGCTGAGGAAATTTCTTCAGGGGAGGATGTGCCAGTAGAGGATGTTTCTTCCTCAAAAATTAAGAAAATGTGTGCAATATGGGAAGAATTGCAAACCTTTGCTGAAACGACTCACCCAAATCAAGCTGCAGTATGTCATTGCCTTAACCTATTCAATGACACTGTGATGCATCATTACCGACTAACGTTAAAAAGAAGGGAAAAACTCTTTATAAATTTGTAGTGAGACAAACAAGCACTGAACCACAACCAGGTCCTAGTGGTATTCAGGCAAAACGTAGGAGAGAGAGTACCCCAGAGAATATATCACTGCCTGATGTGATAATGGAAGGGGACTCCCCTTCCAAACAGTGACAACTCTCCTCCTCCCCCCTCATCACTATCTTCCATACGCCATCAAGAGCCCTCCATAAAGGTAAGTGAAACTTTGGTACTGTATTGTAGTTAGAAAAAAACATTGTATTCAGTATAAAATGTATTTGTATGTTAATATTTTGGAGGGTGGGGAACGGACTAATTCAAATCCCTTTATTTCTTTTGGGAAAAATCACTTCGACTTACGATATTTCAACTTACGATCCGTCTCTGGGAACGGATTAGTATCGTAAGTCGAGGCCCCATTGTATATAAAAAACATATGAACTCGTGCAACTGATTTGTCTGGTAGATTGGAGCAACCTCAGTAAGATACAGTGTAGCTACAGGAAGCCACCAAGGGGCTCCCCCAGAAAATACGATGATACCATTTACGATACCATCAGAGCACCTGCATATCCCCTACCATCACCCACCTTCCCTTCCCTCATTCTTAGCTCTTATCTCAGATTACACTGACACTAAATGTCAGTGATCATACCATCCATCTGTCATACCACATTACCTTTAATTTTAATCACATTTTCTCACTAACAATGATTATTTTTACCAGTTTATGGATATCCTTTTCAACTCATTTCCCAGGTTTTGTTTTACACATATTTCCTCATTTCTCAGACTGAGCAAATGACCTGCTGCAGTGTCTGATAGCAGAATCACCATGTAATTTTGTTTCCATGTATTTAAAGCCCTTTTATGAATAAGTTATTTATAACATCAAGCTTGCATTGAAAATTTGACAGGGGTCATTTGTAAGATGAGCTCTTACACAACCATTTTATTCATAGGTAGATTACAGTATTGGGCACTTGAAATGTATCACCGATTTATCTTCAGCTCTTTGACTGCAAGACGGATCCAGGGCCCTTCTTACCCTCCCATCATATCCTCTGGGCATGATTTGTGACCAGACTATAAGGAAACCATATACTATACAGTATTGTATGCTAAAGATGCACATCCTTGTAAAGGCAGGCATTGTACTTGCACTTTTATTTTCATTACTTGAAGCAGTTTTGCCATTTGTATTATACAGTACATAGTTCTACCAACAATATTTAAATTTGTTATGACCACTTTCAGACAAAGTTGTTGAAAATTAACAAACTACTAACCTTGACAATCAGCTGTTGGCCACAAGAGACAATTACCAATTCCTGAATAACACAGCACAGTTACCGCAGCCAAGAAGACAAGAGAGCATATGGTACATGGTTTACGCTCCAAGAAGAAGCCCGTCAAATAAAGAACCATGAACACTACATGGTTGTGAAGCAGACCAGCAGGAACTGGTTTGGGTATGAGGAGGACAGGTATCAACCACTGTAGACAATACATCTTTCTGGTACAACTGTGGAGGAGGGAGAAGTATTGTACATGTAATAGCTTTAATAACAGTAAGTTGTCCTGTTCATTTCTAACCATTACTGCATAAATAATAAAGTAAAATGATGTTTCTGGGTTTTTATATACAGTGCTGAACATATTCTCTTGTTCTGCAACTACAGCAACATACAATTTGACTTTGCCAACTTCCCAACCCTGAATTGCCATGTAAATCTGTAAAAAATTAAAATAACCTTACGCCCTAAGAAATCACTATATCACGAAATCATTATACAAAAATAATTGAAGCAATCCAGGGATTATAAACAGCATTCCAGATCACCCTAGTCCAGTGAATTAAGATGCACACTGAGGTGACCCAGAATGCTGGTTTAATCCCCAGATTGCTCCAATGATTTTCACAAACTGATATCACTGGATGTTATGATTAAATGATCTGCTACTGTGAACGATTTCATCCTAACCCCCATCTAGGCTTGATCTCTGAAAAACAGGAATTTTCACGACATCCGATACCCCCTTGAACTAGAATGTAAACAGTGTAAATTAATGATATGCACATGGGTATGGCAACCTTAGCCTGTTATCTTTTCACAGAAGCCGAGCTCCAAAAACCTAAACGTTACTACAGGGTATATTTACGTGCCTGCATTGCCTATTTCTGGATACCTGTGCCTAAGGATTCCACATTTCCCAATGATTGCTGTGGTGTTACTAGAGGCAGTGTTTCAATATCAATAAAACCCAATATTATTTTGTTAACATTCAGTCACGAACCAATTACATCTCATTCATTGAACCTGCATGTTCTTTTGCAGAATCTGGCACCGGAAATTCTTTGACACTTAAGTAATATACAGCTAACCCTTTACTTTCATGCAAGTTGATTAGCACACAAAAACTATTGTTTCAAGTTTGAAGAATTTATCTAAACTTTGATTTATCTTTCTACTAATACAGTATCTTGTGAGGCACTTTGCTTCCATATTCTGCTAGCAACATTAATAAATTCTATACCGAACCTGCCATCAATAAAGTCCCTCCTCTAGGTTCATTGTAGACACCCAGTTACAGCCAAACTCCTACTAATTATTATATTGTGCCAAACTCCTACTAATTACTATATTGTGCCTATTCCCAGACATGTACACAAGAGCTACAATGCTTCATATTTAAGGTTTATCTTTGTCAAGGGATTATCGAGTTTGAAAGCACTAGTAGAAGTGGTCCAGCTTGAGTAATCACCCAAGTACAATACTGTACATGTACTATACACATGACTGCCAGTGTTTGAATCTATTTCTGGATGATATTACCAAACAGAATAGCAGCAAAAAGAGTTGATTGCAAGACACTTCCACTGAACTGTGTCAAGAACAGATTTACATTGTACATTAGACAATGTAGACTCATTCCATAATAGATCATGCAGTGCCAAACACCAAACCCTTTTAAATTTTCACACAAGTTACTCTTTTATCTTTGTCTTTACCCAGTATTTAAAAAGCCCAAAAATATAAATTTCAGATCAATCCGACTTTTGGCTCAAAAGTCACGGGCCCAATTTCACTTCGGTTCCCAATTAGGCTAGAAGAGTGATTTAACATTTTCACCCGCCGGTGACAGGTATTGCATTCATAAATAACTATGGATGTCACCCGGTAATGCATTTTGCATCCAGAATTAAAATACCTTGTACAGTACATGTACAGTACATATAAACAAATCCACAAGGGCCATGACAAGGATTCGAACCTGCATCCGGGAGCATCCCAGCATACAGTACATATATTTTCGGTGTTGCTTAAAATATTTTTCTGGTAAAGGTTTTACATATAGATTCCGTTTCTGTCTTTCCACCGACAAATTTTTTGTTTAATAAGTTATCGTGATGTTTTCAATAATATTCTTAGGGGGTTCGTCTATTCCAACATGGGCGACCATTTTGGAAATCAAACACAAGGGTTGATCCAATTGACAGTCTGGTCAGATTCTAACAGGGGTTTGACAGTGATATCCTCATTATGCACCCAAGATTTGCCAGTGCAGGCTACTGAACAGATGCCCCCCGTATGACTAACCATCCTGCGAGATGGGGACTTTTAGTACGATTGCTGCCTTATTCACTCTTGTGTTCATGATGATATAATCATAATGCACCCAGTCTGCCAGTGCAGACTACTTATCACATGCTGCCGAATGACTAACCATCCTGTGTGATGAGGATTTATAGCATCATGTAGCTCTACTAAGTTTTGACACATACTGTACTCCCTTCATAGTCTAGGAAAGCTTCATAAATGCAGATGTTTCTAAATGTGTTAATAAAAAAAAATCTCAAATGCTCCTCATCACCCAGCACTCTCTACCTCACCAGGACAGTCAAATCATAAGGCATTTCAACCAGACTTGTTTTCTAATTGTTAAAACCCTAAGTATCTCTAGATTAGGCTGTGTTAATGTAGGTTAAACTGTTAAGAATAGGTTGGGTTAGGTTTGGTGGGTTGTAAAATCCGTTGGCAAACCAGTCTTTAGTAGGATGTGACTTGTACCCCTCTCCGCACTCCTCGCTCAGACTACCGCCTTTACTAACCCCCAGATGAAGAAAGTTAGTGGTGCTAACAGGGACCAACGATCAGGCTAGAATACCTGCAGGAATACGCAGCAGGTGGCGACGAAGAGACAAATGTACCTGCAGGGCACACCAGGTGGCGACCACGATACAAGTGTACCTGCAGGCTGACACAGTAGGCAGCGACGAGGAAAGAGAGCAAATGTACCTGCAGGGGAACACGGCAGGTTGCGACGAGGACACAACAGTACCTGCTGAAGGACAGCAGTAGGAGGACCTGTGTGTTATCTTCACAACATGACTGGTTGTCGCACCCGCCACCAGGTGGCTACGGGCGCCTGACCCGCCAGTTTTAACCTCTCCCCGCCGTCCGTCCTCACACTCACTCTCATTCCCATGCTTCTTACACCTGCCCTCACTCATTCCTACCCGGCCCCATGCCTCTCACACCCGCCCGCACTCATTCCTTTCCGGCCCCATGCCTCTCATACCCGCCCTCACTCATTCCTTTCCGGCCCCATGCCTCTCATACCCGCCCTCACTCATTCCTTTCCGGCCCCATGCCTCTCATACCCGCCCTCACTCATTCCTTTCCGGCCCCATGCCTCTCACACCCGCCCTCACTCATTCCTTTCCGGCCCCATGCCTCTCACACCCGCCCTCACTCATTCCTACCCGGCCCCATGCCTCTCACACCCGCCCTCACTCATTCCTACCCGGCCCATGCCTCTCACACCGCCCTCACTCATTCCTACCCGGCCCCATGCCTCTCACACCCGCCCTCACTCATTCCTTTCTGGCCCCATGCCTCTCACACCCGCCCTCATTCATTCCTACCCGGCCCATGCCTCTCACACCTGCCCTCACTCATTCTTTTCCGGCCCCATGCCTCTCACACCTGCCCTCACTCATTCCTTTCCGGCCCCATGCCTCTCACACCCGCCCTCACTCATTCCTACCCGGCCCATGCCTCTCACACCCGCCCTCACTCATTCCTACCCGGCCCATGCCTCTCACACCCGCCCTCATTCATTCCTACCCGGCCCCATGCCTCTCACACCCGCCCTCACTCATTCCTACCCGGCCCATGCCTCTCACACCTGCCCTCATTCATTCCTACCCGGCCCCATGCCTCTCACACCCGCCCTCACTCATTCCTTTCTGGCCCCATGCCTCTCACACCCGCCCTCACTCATTCCTACCCGGCCCCATGCCTCTCACACCTGCCCTCACTCATTCCTTTCCGGCCCCGTGCCTCTCACACCCGCCTCACTCATTCCTACCCGGCCCATGCCTCTCACACCCGCCCTCACAATCATTCCTACCCGGCCCATGCCTCTCACACCCGCCCTCACTCATTCCTTTCTGGCCCCATGCCTCTCACACCCGCCCTCACTCATTCATACCCGGCCCCATGCCTCTAACTCATTCCTTTCCGGCCCCATGCCTCTCACACCCGCCCTCACTCATTTCTACCCGGCCCATACCTCTCACACCCGCCCGCATTCATTTCTACCCGGCCCCATGCCTCTCACACCCGCCCTCACTCATTCCTTTCTGGCCCCATACCTCTCACACCCGCCCTCACTCATTCCTACCCGGCCCCATGCCTCTCACACCTGCCCTCACTCATTCCTTTCCGGCCCCGTGCCTCTCACACCCGCCCTCACGATCATTCCTACCCGGCCCATGCCTCTCACACCCGCCCTCACTCATTCCTTTCTGGCCCCATGCCTCTCACACCTGCCCTCACTCATTCCTTTCCGGCCCCGTGCCTCTCACTCATTCCTACCCGGCCCATGCCTCTTACACCCGCCCTCACGATCATTCCTTTCCGGCCCCGTACCTCTCACACCCGCCTTACTCATTCCTACCCGGCCCCATGCCTCTCACTCATTCCTACCTGGCCATGCAATATGCCTCTCACACCCGCCCTCACTCATTCCTACCTGGCCCATATGCCCCCCACACCCGCCCTCACTCGTTCCTACCCGGCCCATGCCTCTCACACCCGCCCTCACTCATTCCTACCCGGCCCATGCCTCTCACACCCGCCCTCACTCATTCCTGCCCGGCCCCATGCCTCTCACACATGGCCTCACTCATTCCTCACATCCTGTGAGATGGGAATATTAAGAGGAACTTATAGCTAGTTTTTTTATCTACACTGTGTAATCTTTTATATAGAATAGGGTAGAAGCGTATTGCTGTGTATACCTAAGCTTGTTATAAAAAAAGTAAAAACATCAATGGTATGAATCGAAGTATAATCAATAATAATCGAAGCGTTTGTAACAAGACACCTGGTGTGGTTCTTAAGCTATATCTTGCTCTGGTTAGGCCCCATTTAGATTATGCAGTTCAGTTTTGGTGGCCGTATTATAGAATGGATATAAATTCACTTGAACGTGTCCAACGTAGGATCTATCTTGAGATGTTTATCTTGAGATGTTTTCGGGGCTTTTTAGTGTCCCCGCGGCCCGGTCCTTGACCAGACCTCCACCCCCAGGAAGCAGCCCGTGACAGCTGACTAACACCCAGGTACCTATTTTACTGCTAGGTAACAGGGGCATAGGGTGAAAGAAACTCTGCCCAATGTTTCTCGCCGGCGCCTGGGATCGAACCCAGGACCACAGGATCACAAGTCCAGCGTGCTGTCCGCTCGGCCGACCGGCTCCCTGACTAAGGATGACTAAGACTGACTAAGGATGACTAAGTTAATTCCCCAAATTAGAAATCTTTCATATGAAGAAAGATTAACAAAGCTTAAGTTGCATTCACTGGAAAGGCAAAGAGTTAGGGGTGACATGATAGAGGTTTACAAGTGGATGAATGGACATAACAGGGGGGATATTGATAGGGTATTAAAAATATCAACACAAGACAGAACACGAAACAATGGGTATAAATTGAATAAGTTTAGATTTAGGACAGACTTGGGTAAATACTGGTTCAGTAACAGGGTTATTGATTTGTGGAACCAATTGCCGCGTAACGTGGTGGATGTGGGGTCCCTCGATTGTTTCAAGCGCGGGTTGGACAAGTAACATGAGTGGGATTGGGTGGTTATAGATAGGAGCTGCCTCGTATGGGCCAATAGGCCTTCTGCAGTTACCTTTGTTCTTATGTTCATCTTAAATCATCTCAAGGTAAGTAGGACAATGCAGTTCTAACAGCAAAGTTAGATTTCTGTTTCAAATAACTAATCCGGTAGGAGCTGTATGTAATCTAGTCAGGTATGTTGGAACTTGAGTGATATTGATTCATTAGCGAATTCTGTAGTGCTTTATAGCACTACTGTTTGCATTTTTACATTGATATTATAAGCACTTTAAAGGATGAAGTGTTCTCAAACAAATGGTAACCAAGAAAAAACCCTCAAAGTGCAAATAATAAAATTCACTACTGTAAACAAATCCACAAGGGCCGTGACGAGGATTCACTACTGTACTTTAAAGGATAAATATTAAGGACAGAATGAAGAGTCTCAGTATGCATGAACAAGTTCCTAAATTTATAGTATCCACAGATAAATGTCTAAAAGTTTAGGCTATAGGGTAAGCACTAGAACCGAGGTCATTCAGCAGTCTAATACATGAAAGGGGATAATGCAAGTTTATGTCAAATCCATACATTTTTAATATGATCCTATTTAACATCGTTCAATGACTTGTCACACCACATCTTTTATTCAATTTCCTTCATTGGGTTTCCACTCATTTGCTATAATCTCCCCATTATGGCTAGTTTTTTTTTTATATTTTTCTAGTGTTCTTCCTCCTAATATGTACTATTTTTCTAATTCAATGGAAGCAAAACAACAGAAGCTCTGAACAAATTATATTTTGACTATAGATCATCAGGTTTCATCCCTAATTCACTAGGAGTTTTGATAGCTATGTTTTACACTCACAAACATTTTATACATTGTCAGATCAGTTAAGGTTTAGAGGTAATGTCAGGAACAAAGAAATAAATAGCCATGAAAAATTTATAGGATAAAAGAATGAAACATTGGACATAATTATAAAAAAGCCCAATACTACCAGTAAAAATAAGAAATATGATGTACATTACTTCCCTGAAGGGCTGCTAGGTACACCTTGAATAAGAATTATTGTCAACCGAGATATTTTCAATTTAAGAAATATAAAATACAATATTAGTAACAATCACGAAGCTCATTGAGTTTAAATTGCAGAAATTAAAATTTTTTTATGAAAATCACATTTGAATACCTCTGCCACCAACAAATTTTAAATTGAAAATGGAATTGGGTAGAGCAAGGATCAGGGTCCAGCCACAGTGCTCAAAGATTAATGTTGGAAAATATATTTTGAAGAGATTAATGTTCCTTAATATTTAACCGTGTACTTATTGAACAAACTTTACCCTTAGCTGTTTAACAACCTGTCAATCTTCACACAAAAGCTGCCACTTTTATTAATCACTAATACGTATTGGTTATATATAAACAAAAATTATTAGAATGATTCTACTGAGGGAACATGGGGAGGAAATGAGAATGAGGGCACTAGGAAAGTAGAGAGAAAAAGACAAGCATGAGATATTAAGTTAGTAACAGTGGGGCATCATGGCACAGTTCTCAAAAGCTTCATTAAATTTGGAATTTAAATAAAACGAGAGAGAATTGGCAGCATCTTGCTGGAATATGATTTGGATTATTTATCAAGTTACCAAATTATCTTACTATGTCTTGCCCAGGAGGGTGCCACTTGCTCCACATGAAGCAACATTGCTTCAACACTTTGAGCCAGTTTTGCCAGTGTAGAATATAACAGCATGGAATGATTTCACTTGCTAGAGAAACAAGGAAGATGAGCGCATTATCAATAAGACATTCAGTAGTTTAATTATTTCTTCAGCAGTGTTATATTACAATATTTTCCATAATCTACTAAGCATGACTTATGGAGATACTAAAAAATTCATGACAGTTTAAAGTCTTTTCAAATCTGCATTACAACATATGGACCAGCAACATAACTGAAATGCAGAATCCATAAAAGGTAAATAAATATCAAATTCTCTACAAAAATAGGAGACAATTTTACTACAAACAGCATAAGTGACTTCCCTCCCCAGCTATAGTTAAACCATTTTTAACCAATTGTAACATACAATACCAAATGGCTCAAAATATCTTTCTGACAAGACATTAAGAACTTTGCATATAATAATAATTCTGAATTGATAATACAATTTCAGTATATTGCTAACAATCAGCATTTGTTCTTTCATATATATATTTCACTTTAACAATACATACTTGTGTTCATTTATCATATTTAAATATCCATCTATTAAAACCTGCTTTTGCAGCCATTGCTAAAAACTATGGAGAAAACTGCATTAATATTAAACTTTGAAGCAGTTAAATTTATATCAACAAACTCAAAATCAATATACTTTTGAATTTTTATTTAATTTCACAATTTCTGCCAGACCAAACAATTGAGGAAAGCAAACACTTCAAGCTCAACTATTTTCCATGCATTCCTTGGAACTGTATCTTGTTTAGTTTAACAATGACATCTAACATGACATTTTCTGCAAACACAACAGTACAAGTAAAAGGCTGACTTCACTTGCAAGTTTGTTATCCTACATTTGACATTCTAAGGAATGTCAAAGCAATTTACAAACAATGTGCAAGAGTTCTGCACATCTTTTGACAATTGGCCAAGTGATGCCTCTCAAAAAATGTCATATCAGATCAATCTTCACTTATTAATCATACTCTATTCCCAACTAGCTAATTGAAAGCAGAATGAGATTGGTAGATTATTTATGAATGTCTTATATCAAGAAGAGGCTGGTTGATAATCGAGGGTCTTACTGCACTGTCATTTTTTTAAATTTTCAGCAATTTGCTAAGACATGGCACATCTCTACAAAATGTTATCTTTAAAAACAAAGAATACTAGGTTAACTACTCAACTTCTACTGTGGTGATCTAGGATCTAATGACTGACTTTCTATAAACTTGTGCCTCCCTTCAATATTCAGTACAACAATCAGCAACGTAGAGAATCCTGAAGGTCTGCACACCAGAACATGACTGTCTTGCTTAATACCATATGACTGACCTATCACATAAAGCATTAGTTACACAAACATCATACCTGATAATAGGGAGGACAATTGACAATGGCATCAGAATCATCGCCATAAATTCCGAAACCAATACTTCAATAAGAACATTCTAGTTTCTCCATCTCATTTTAGTTTCAACAAATTACATCTACTCAGGAACATTACAAATGAACAATACACAGCAACATTTTAATCTTACTTTTCACCATGCTGTTTAATGTATGAAAAAAAAAATGCCATTCACACTTGTAATGCTCTATTAGATTTAAAATACATATTTAAATTAGCACTTCAATACTTGTAAACACCAGAATAATTAGGTATCCATTTTGTTTAGTGTGTTGGTACAACTGCAAGATATTGTATACATTTTTAGGATATTAAAACATTACAGTGCTTATTTGACTTACTACTAAAATACTAAATTCACACATTTGTACAAGAAACTTTTGTCTTCTCTGCTTGGTACTCATATACTATAAAACTAGAGGAATCAAACCTCTATTTGACTGCGTCAAAAAATATTGTTAACGAGTCCCTTGTCAATTATCAGTGATGAGCTACGAGAGTATTTTAACAGACTTGTGAGATGCTACATGATCAAGTATCTAAGCATGCAAGAGAGGCCACTTGCTATACTCTTCTAATTCTACAATGATGGTATTTTCATGACCTAGTAAATGTGAACCTAACATGATCAGTATTTATCCTAATGTTCCCTAAAATCTGTTTTGAAGTAAGAGCATTGCCCTAACTGTAAATGTAAGATATTTTCTAATTTTCTCACTAACACTGCAAGCGATTATCTTCATATTGCTATATGAACATTATTGTCCTGCTACTGAATGTACACCCTAAAATCTTTCTAAATATGATTAAAATGTTGTGAATTAGTTATCAAGCCAAAGTCAACTTAAATGTGCCAAATAGGCTTCATTCAAGCAGATGCCAGCTTAGATGCACCAAACTTCACACTGAATTACCAACACTTATTATCAATTGAGGAGCATCAGATGGGCTTGAAGGTTAATATCTTGGTGACATTGTAAGAAATTATTCGCTCCTTGTACCTCGTACTTCACCCACTTTTCTTTGCTGGAAGTACAAAAAGGATTAAAATTAACACCAATTTAATTTAAAATAATTTTTACATATATAAACTTATATTTCCAACTTTAAATGATGGAAGAAATTAATTTAAGCCTTAAGAAGTTATAAAATGTTCACACTCCACTCAATGATTTAAGGATTGCTCAGTGATGGAAAGGTATTGCCTGACCACTTAACTGCATCTGTGTGATACCTTTCTACTCTCCAGTTTATATACATACTACATTATTTTCCTCTCATCATTCCTTGTACATACATCAGTGAAATATTCAGAACATTAATGAGTTGTAGTCAATACAACTAACATGTGTGCAACTCCATCCTCCTATTTATTAACACACCATTTGTGTTGATGCACATTCAAGAAATATTGAACAGTTGTATCTATACATTGGATTGTATACTTTCATTTATGCATCTTTTAATAACTATTTTATATTATAGTGTCTAATGCTAGATAAATATCTGATAACACCCAGTGACAGACTGCACCTTAGTCAATAAGCAGCATCTAACTAATTATATGTTGAGATTTTTTATCTCACCATATAAATAAAAATATTGTACAAAATTGTTGGCTCAACACTAGGATCTGATCTTGAGGTTATCTTGAGATGATTTCGGGGCTTTAGTGTCCCCGCGGCCCGGTCCTTGACCAGGCCTCCACCCCCAGGAAGCAGCCCGTGACAGCTGACTAACACCCAGGTACCTATTTTACTGCTAGGTAACAGGGGCATAGGGTGAAAGAAACTCTGCCCATTGTTTCTCGCCGGCGCCTGTGATCGAACCCAGGACCACAGGATCACAAATCCAGCGTGCTGTCCGCTCGGCCGACCGGCTCCCCAGGATATGGGGTAAAAATAATAATAATAATAATAATAATAATTATTATTAATATTTATTTTCATAATAACAATAATAATTTACTATACTTTATTCATGAGGTTTTGATTAAAGTGAACAGATGTTTTTTCAGTATAATACTACATAAAAATCTTACACCAATACATACTTTATCAAGTTCTTGCTTAGTTTTATCTTCTAATCTGCGAATGTCTTCCATGGTCATTCCATGCCATCGGTCCATCCAGCAAAATACTTGCCTGTAGAAAAAACACTTTAGATACACTGTATGAAAAGGAAACCCGAGACAAATAACAGCAGGGGTTAAACATAGTAAAGGTGGTTAAGTAATTTTCATGCATTATTACATATCAGATGTTGATAGGAAGCAAAGGAATAACACACTTTTAACACTTTCGCGCTATCTGGACACGCCGGCACGTCCGGTTTCGTCTAACGTAAACGCATAGTGGACATAAAGTTATGTCTTCTTTTAAAATATTTGTATAAAATTCAGTTTTAATCCGATTTCATTGGGGTTTGTTTCAAACGACGCGCCATGAAGTTCCCTTTCTCACCACTAGGCCGCCTGGCGCGTCGGCCTACCCGGTCACGTGACGGGGCCCATTGTTTTCGTGTCACGTGTCGTGAGTCGATCACGCTCCCCTCGCGCGCCAAACTCGAGCATTTTTACCTGTTTCCGTGTGGATTATACCCAATTACTTCATCAAAAATGGATCAAGGTCAAGGCCCAAGCACTTCTACGCCCAAGGAAGCCTCCAGGTCATCGAGAGTGGACAAAATAACCCAAATTTTTAAGAAGTGAAGCGGAGTGAAGCTCACACCAACGAAAATTCCAGGCTTTGTGGAGGATTTATCAGAAGCTGAAGGTGATGTAGAGGTATTGGAGGAAGATTTTGGAACCCACAACGATTATAGTGTACCTAGAGCTAGAGGGAATGATACGGCAACGAGTGATGAGGAGACTGAGGCCCTCACCGAGGAAGAGGAGGCACCGCGATCCCCTCCTCCTCCTCCTCCATCTCGGCGCACACGTGGTGCATCTAGGCTACCTAGAAAAGTAGCTACCAGACATGTTACTCGTCGTAGGAAGACACGACAAATTGCGCCAAGTGATTCTGAAAGTATAAGTGATGAGGAAAGTGATGAGGATTCATTCGAGCCTGCTGAAAGGCGTACACGTACAGTACGTACTCGGCAGGCTGGGGCTGGTGAGGGCTGGAGTCGTAGCAATACTTCTCCAGTTGTTGATGATTTTACTGGAAATCCTGGACTGAAAATTCCCAAGCCTACTAGTGCACTGGCTTATATTCAATTGTTCATCACGCGTGCCCTCCTTGAGTTCTTTACCGTTGAAACAAATTTGTACGCCTCGCAGTTATTCCGGATGGCCAATGAAAATGTATCAGATATTTGGACCCCAGTGAAGGTGAGTGAAATGGCGCGATTCCTAGGACTGTTCATATTGATGGGCATAATTAGGCTCCCAACTATGAGGATGTATTGGCAAACAGCAAAGCCATGGCATGCTCGTTTCTTCAGCTTGTTCATGCCGTCCAGACGATTCCAGCATATAAACCAGTTTTTCCACACATTCAATACCAATGCAGTGCCCGTGAACAATCGTGATAAGTTGATAAAAGTGAGACCAGTGATGGATTACTTGAAAGAGAGGTTTGCTCAAGTTTACATCCCCAAGAAAGAGTTGTGTTTGGATGAGGGTACAATGGCATGGCGAGGCCAACTATCCTTCAAAGTGTACAATCCAAACAAACCAGTCAAGTATGGTGTGAAACTTTATATGCTTGCTGAATCTGTCTCTGGGTACATATATGACTTTGACGTATACTCAGGTATTGGTAAGACGATAGTGGATACAGTAACGGGGTTGATGCAGCCTTTAGTGAACCAGGGTTACCATTTGTACATGGATAATTACTACAACTCGGTTACCCTGACAGAAACATTGAGAGAACATGGGGTGTACACATGTGGCACAATTAGAATGCTATGTGGCGCCCCAAAGGTATTGCAAGCTCTAGCCAAGGGTAAACTTCCACTGGATACCACAGTATACCGCCGCAAAGATAATACCTTCATTCTCCTGTGGAAAGACAAGCGAGTGGTTTCAATCATTACCAACATCCACAATGCAGACACTCAGCGAGTTCAGCGAAGGAAGCGAATTCGCAACCGAGACGGAACAAGTGGAATACAACAGGTAACAGTGAACAAACCGACTGCAATTTGCGAGTACAATAAGTTCATGAAAGGTGTGGACCACTTCGATCAAATGGTTAAATATTACCATTTTACCAGGAAAGCTCACAAGTGGACCAAAAAGATTACCTTTTATTTCCTGCAAACGGCATTGCATAATGCCTATGTTTTGTACAAATACAACACAACTGATCGAAAAAAGCTAACATTGCTACAGTTCCACGAAGTGGCAATCTGGGCCCTATTGCACTGGGACACAGAGGAGTGGCCTAAAACAACATCATCATCTCAACACTTGCGGCACGCTCCAGACATAAATGATGACACAGCTCCTGCCAATGCTGACGCCATGCCAACTCCCGGACCATCTGGTGTGAGGCGGCCTTTGTTCACTACACCACCTCAAGATGAAGCAGACAACGAATCTGAACCCGACATGTCTGCCACACTGCCAGTTGACGACACTGTTTTGTCAGATGAATCTGACTCTCCTGCAACTCCTGTTACACCTCCAGCGAGAGGACCTGGCCGCCCTATTGTTGATTCAGAAAATCGCATGAACTACAAACTGAAACATGAAATTTACAGACTGCCCAAACGTCTCAAGTGTCATGCATGCGCACGGTCCGGTAAAAGGAAGGACACGAACTATGGATGCAAGACCTGTGGTGTTGCACTCTGTGTTGTTCCCTGCTACACCAATTACCACCGGAAACAGGTGTATTGGGTGGTGAAGAAGTAACCACCCGCAACAGCTTCACTCCACCTACAAACCATCTGTTGAGCAACTTCAGGAATGAAGAACCTGAAGAAGGTGGAGTGAAGAACAAATGCTCAACTTACTGTTCCACAACCAGCCTTCCCTTGGTAAGTACACCTATTTGGTCCAAGTTTATGTAGTATAATTTAGCTCATAGAACATTCTATTGCAAAAACATTGCCACAAAAATGAATGACATACATACAATAATAATATCAGAACAGTGAAATAAGTATAAACTTTCAAAGCAACGTTTCGCGCATGTGTCGTCCGGTCACCGTTACCGGGTAACAGTGCGCCCACTTCCCACACTCTTGCGGGTGGGCCGGGACCATTATTCTACGATTATATTCATATCACCGTGTTGGGAATTTTATTGGGAGTCCATTGATACCAAAATTAAGGCTGTAGGACAATTGTGGAGGTGATAATAATCCCAAGAGTAAAAACATTTTGTTGCTGTTGAGCGCTCACGGCGACTCATCTTCGTAGTTATTTATTTCATGCTGGTATCTCTATAGATTTCGTGACTTTTTTTTACTCATGTTCTTCTAGAGAATTTTATTGCGAACACGTTGGTACCAAAATGAAATACGTAGCATGAAAACTAAGGTCAGAAAAGTAAAAAGAGTAGACACATTTTTGTTTTTACACTTAAGCGATAAAAACGCCGTGCGCACATACGGTTGGCTGAGTGACCTTCGCCGAGAGCGCGAAAGTGTTAAGAACACATGAAACTGAGAAGTATACTATATGGTTACATGATCTGAGGACACCCCAGAATTGAATCTATCTGAAATGAAATACCTTGAGAAATGAACATACTGGTGTAGTGAGTACAATGAATGCATGTGGGTGAGTGAGTTATGACATTAAGAGTAAAGATCTCAACCCCCTTCCTTCCTTTGACAGTTTGCTTTTATAAAGCAATTTTACTTGCACAGGCCATGCCATTTGCATGCAAATCCAAGTGTATTTGTTGCACAGCATATTACACACTCCAAGCTGTCTCATGTATTTCTTGTCAAGAAGAGAACTACAAAAATATTTCTCAATGATACAAGATAGATCTTGAATACAGTTAGTTTATTTTACAAAGGATTGAGACGAGCAAGGCCCCTATTTGTTGAAACTCGTCCTGCCTTGAACCAAAGCTCCACCATACTTGGAGGACTGGTTTACAGTGTGTAATTCATTTAGTGCAATGACAGGCACTTACTGCTAAGTGAGTGAAAAGGGTGGCAAGACCCGTTCCACCCAGTTGACATCCTCTTCTGAAACACTCACAAATGAGTAACCATTTCATCCCTGGCCAGGAGTGTGCAACTTTAAGTGCTGTGAGAACCCCTAAATACCTCATTTCATGCTGCAAATGCTCCTGTCTTACATGCCACCATTGTAGAATAATTATGGCCAAATAGCTCTATGCAGGATTTATTGGTAAATTCAAAGTGACATACCATTATTGACATACTAATAATTAGATATTATAGTGAACTATCATGTAGAAATAATCAGCAAATTGAAAGAAAATAATGAGCACTTGAGTAGCAATGTTTTAGGTCTTGAAGGGTTAGTGAAAGACTTATGCAAGGACAAGAATCAATTGGAAACAAATTGCAAAACCATGGAAGAGGAAAATAAACTTTTAAAAATAGCCTTGGAAGAAGTTAAAGTAACTTTAAACATAAATGACTACAATAGGTTAGGTAAGGAAATTCAACAGGAAAAACAGCTTTTGTCAGTACAGATGGAGGAAGTTACACAAGGAATAGAACAGTGCAAGAAAGATATGCAACTCACCTATGCAGAAGTGGCCAAGGAGAAGGGAAAAATAGAAGCAGCATTAAAGGAAGCCAAACACTGCAGCAACCAGGATACAACAAACATTAGGCTGGAAGCGAGAAAGGAATTGGCATCTAACCCGAAGTTGGTGCAAAACACAGTTGATCGAAGTAAGTCCCTGATAATTTTTGGTTGCAAAGAAAAGGAAATAATATCTAGGTCAGAAAGAACTTAGAAGAGGCGAAAGTAGTAGATAAAATTGTTGGCCTCGTGGAAGGTCTTACTACCATAGAGAATATCTGCAACTACAGGAGGATTGGAAAGTCGTAAAAGGGAAAGATTGACCTTTGAGGATCACCCTAAATGGCGCCAAACAGATGGAAGAAGTACTAAGGAATGCTAGAAAATTACAGTGATGAGGATGGGAAAGTATGGTCGTTATGACGAGATCTTTCAGAAGACAGAAGCTAAAACTGAACCTCGTCGAGGCAAAATGTTTAAATGAGAACAGGAATGAAAAAGAAATCAATTCTTTTTTCTACAAAGTGATAGGGATAGGCAGACCAGTAAAATAGTACAAAAAGGCAAACCAACAAAATCACTAGAGAAAGGGGTAATGAAGAATAAGGAGGGAAAACATGTTCCTGAAAATTGCATACACCAACATAGATGGAGTGAGATCAAGGATACTGGAGTTAAGTGATGTAATACAGCTGCAGACACCAGACATTGTTGAACTCACGGAGACAAATCTTGAAGATGATATTTTAAATGAGGTCATATTCCCAAGGGGCTATACAGTTTGGAGACGGGACAGAAAAATTAGGAAAGGTGGTGGCGTTGCTGTGCTGGTGAAAGAACACCTAAAGGTAAATGAAATAATGACTGCCAATCCACGAGAAGTTGACATAATAGCACTAGAGATCTGCAAGCAGGATGATGAACTAACGATCATAAATGCATATAGTCCACCGTCATGCAACACGTGGTCAAAGGAGGAGCTGGATAATAAACCAGGTCTTATAACAATAATGAGAGAGATTATAGCGAGAGCCGATAAAGATAGATCACGACTGTTGGTAGTCGGCGACTTAAACTTGAAATCCAGAGATTTCATATGAAGCTAGAACAGAGGATTTTTGGACTTGGAGATTTGTAAACCTCATCCTGGAAACATTCATGTTTCAACATGTTAAACTATGAGGATGAGGGAAGGGGATGTTCCCTCCATGCTTGATACCTGTTTGATGGGGTTCTGGGAGTTCTTCTACTCCCCAAGTCCGGCCCGAGGCCAGACTTGACTTGTGAGAGTTTGGTCTGGATATGCTGGATTTGATATTTACCAGGAAAGAGGAAGAGATATTTGACATTCAGTACCTCCCTCCTTTGGGTAAAAGTATCTATGTCTTTTTGGGAATAAAGTATGCAATGCATTATAATCTGGAAGAAAATGAGGTTGAAGCAGTTGAAAAGCCTGATTTCAGGAGAGGTCATTATGGGGAACTCAAGACATTTCTTTAAGGAATTTGACTGGAAAGACTTGCTGTTTGGACATGAAGTAAATGAGATGTATGTCAAGTTTTGTGATATATATGATAAAGGCACAAAACAATTTATACCAAAGTAGAGATGCAGAACTATGAAACAGGATTGGTTCAACAGAAATTGTGAGAGAGCCAGAGACCAAAAGACATAAAAATGGTATCAATATAGGAAGAGGCCAAACCCCCAAACATACCAGCAATACAAAGATGCGAGAAACAACTACACGGCAGTGAGGAGATAGGAAGAAAATTTTTGAAAAAGGGATTGCAGTAAAACAGAACCAGGTCTATTCTATAAATTCATAAACAAATTGCAGGTAATGGATAATATTCAGAGGTTGAAAATGGGAAATAGATTCACGGAAAATGAAAAGGAAATGTGTCAAACAAACGAAAAGTTCCAAAGTTTGTTTGTACATGAAATCTTCAGGGAACCAGACAATAAAAATCCCAGAGAACAACATCGAGCACACAGAGGTGTCTAGAAATGAAGTGGAAAAAATGCTCAAGGAGCTAAGTAAGAACAAAGCAGTTGGTCCAGATGGAGTTTCACCATGGGTTCTGAGAGAATGTGAACCTGAGCTCAGCATTCCACTTCGACCCGATTTTTTCAGGCATCCCTGTGTACAGGGGTTATAGCTGATGTGTGGAAAAAGGCCAACATAGTTCCAATCTATAAAAGTGGTAGCAGGGAAGACTCCCTCAATTATAGACCCGATTCTTTGACAAGTGTAATAGTCAAAATAACAGAAAAAATAATTAAAACTAAATGGGTAGAACACCTGGTGGAAAAACAATATAATATCAGACAGACAGTATGGTTTTCGATCAGGAGGATCCTGTGTAACGAATTTACTCAGTTTCTATGATGGAGCCACAGACATTTTACAGGAAAGAGATGGTTGGGTTGACTGCATCTATCTGGACCTAAAAAAAAGACTTGACAGAGTTCCACATAAAAGGTTGTTCTGGAAACTGGAACATATTGGAGGAGTGACAGGTAAGCGTCTAACATGGATGAAAAATTTCCTAACTTATAGAAAAATGAGGCCCGTAATCATAGTCAATGTATCGGATTGGAGGAATGTCACTAGTGGAGTACCACAGGGTTCAGTTCTTGCACTGGTAATGTTCATTGTCTACATAAACGATCTACCAGATGGAATGCAGAATTGTATGAACATGTTTGCTGATGATGCTAAGATAATAGGGAAGATAAGAAACCTAGATGATTGTCATGCCCTTCAAGAAGACCTGGACAAAATAAGTATATGGAGCACCACTTGGCAAATGGAATTTAATGTGAATAAATGCTATGTTATGGAATGTGGAATTGGAGAACATAGATCCCACACAACCTATAAATTATGTGAGAAATCTTTAAAGAATTTTGACAAAGAAAGGGATCTAGGGGTGGTTCTCGATAGAAAACTGTCACCTGAGAACCACATTAAGAACATTGTGCGAGGAGTCTATGCTACACTTTCTAACTTCATAATTGCTTTTAAATACATGGATGGAGAAATACTAAAGAAATTGTTCACGACATTTGTTAGACCAAAGCTGGAATATGCAGCGGTTGTATTGTGCCCATATCTTAAGAAGCACATCAACAAACTGGAAAAGGTTAAAGACATGTCACTAAGTGGCTCCCAGAACTCAAGGACAAGAGCTACGAGGAGAGTTTAGAGTCATTAAATATGCAAAAGCTAGAAGATAGAAGAAAAAGAGGCAATATGATCACTACATACAAAACAGTAACAGGAATTGATAAAATTGATAGGGAAGAGTTCCTGAGACCCAGAAGTTCAAGAACAAGAGGTCATAGATTTACACTAACAAAACAAAGCTGCCGGAGAAATATAAGAAAATTCACTTTAGTAAACAGAGTGGTAGACTGTTGGAACAAGTTAGGTGAGGTGGTGGTGGAGGCCAAAAACGTCAGTAATTTCAAAGTGTTGTATGACAGAGTGCTGGGAAGACGGGACACCACGAGCTTAGCTCTCATCCTGTAACTACACTTAGGTAATTACCATGTTCCATGACCTAACCATTTTCAACGCACTTTTACTTTAGCCTACTGCTCTCTTTATATCTTGAAGAACGTTACCAGTAGAAAGCAAACAGTACAATCTGCCAGTCTGTTCAAACAATCCTGACACCAAGTGTTAATTCCATCTACTATAGCATGTGCCCCATCAGTGGACATGTTTCCCAGTAAAAGTTATAGAACAAGTTTTTGTAGCAAAGAACTTAGTCATGCATTGTAATTCAAAATGATACTACTGAATGCAAACTGGAAGTAATGCTGAAGAAAGAAGACATAAGAGAGGGATCGTTAAATGAAGTGCCAAATGAACCCAAGTTGGGAGATCTGTAAGAACAAATTAAAAGCAGTGTTTAAAATACTGCCCTGTGGGATGCCTTCACATTTGTAATAGGAGACAGAAAAAGAAATCCCAAGGTGTACGTTAAATATAGGCAAGGCACCAAATTAGTGGACAAAATTCCATAGGGTATGGCAATGTGGTTTACAAATGAGAAAGGACAGTGTTGATTAACTGTCAAGATTTTTCCTCTTTGGTCATTCACAAGCACTTGAGGTGCATGGGAAGATACTAATAGTTAAGTAGAACAGTATAGAGAATACAGTAAATTCAAAGCAAAGAAGCAAAACAAGTACACTTTGTAACAGCTCCAGTTTTCTAGTCTTACCTAAATGGTTTTCAGAATGAAATGACTAAGTAAAATTTGCAGTTTACAGTGTTAAAGTAGGTAAAGTATGGGGAGGAAAACTAAGAGTAAGAAAATAATTTAATCAGCAGATGATTTTCTAAGGGTGAAAATGAAAAGAAAATACTTTAGACTACAAATTTAAGCTGGTAGAGGAATCTTACTTATAAACAAATTCCACTAAATTATAACAGTTCATCAGTATACAGTAGTATACTGTCTACTGATACAGTAGCCCACAAGCAGTTTTCCCTCTTTGGGGTGTGGTAACATGCAGAATCTCCTTGAACTTTTTATGTGCCAAAACTTAACAATTAAAAAAACACTTCTATACATGGGTGACTAGCAGTTAGAATGTCATAATTTTCCTCACCTATGGAAATTTGTGAAGAGTCTACGTTCAATATCTTGAATGAACTTCTCAACACGTGTTTGTAGACCAAACCATTTGAACTCGCATGTTACAAGCTTGTAGCATGTCATCACAGGATCACACTGAAATCAATACAATAGAGGTAATCCACTTGTATGAATTTATCATAAAGGGAGGAAATAATTAGTGACAAACAAGAGGCCCAAGTCTACTGAATGAATTCTAAACAACAATACACTACAACACTGCACCAATTGGGCCTACATCATTGTGAAACAACTCACAGGTAAAAGAGTGTGTTCTGTACATATTATTCACTAAATTTTAATACAGTATTAATTTGACACCAAACCTAGCCAAAGATTATTACTGTAATTAGATCACTATATATAATTTGTTTAGTATATATAAAACTAGGGAAAGGGTTGGATGTGGAACATTTGCCTGAAAGCAAATAAGTGATACAGTACTGTCAGAGGATTGGAAAATGGCTAAGATTACATCTTTACATACATTACAAGTAAAGGTGTGTATGGCAATGCAAGAACTATAAAAGCCCCAATTTACCTAGTGTAGTGGGTAAAGCGTGTAACAAAATAGTAATTCGAGGAATACTGAAGATAACCGAGAATTAATGATGAACATGGGTTTTGTATTGGAAGGGTTACGTTGATTACATATGTGCATCAAGACAGCCAGAAGAAAAAGTGAACAAGACAGATTACTAAGTGTGTATGTCCTTTGTGGACTTGTAGCAGGCATATAGAAAATGGAGTGGAAGGATTTTCTTGAGTGTTGTGCATATATGAAATTAGGATGTGAAATCATGTGAAGAGCTTTTATTCAGGATGATGCCAGAGTTGTATGATGTTCCCATGTTTGTTCAGTGTACATACAAAAGGAGCCACAAGGGAGGCAATATCAGATATCTCATCATTACCTGTAATATTTGACTAGTTATTGTGATTCTTGAGTTAGTGTTCAGGACTATCGATGACAGAAGATATCGACATCTAGGAAAACTTTGCTACGTGAACATGTATTGTGAGCATACCATGAGAACAATAGTGTGAGGGGGAACCTGGTATATAGCTGAGGGAGAGATTTGACCAAGAGTGGTGCTGTAGTTCCTAGTCTTGAGCAGCAATAACAATTACAACTTTACGCAATACTGAAGGGTCTATTCTAAGATATCTTAGACCTGACAGTTTAACATGTAATGGTACTCTACTATAACAGTACAGCAATTTAAATTGATCAAGAACACTTAATCCTAAACATCTCTCACTAGCTTCAGTAAACTTTGCCTTCACTAACTTCAGTTGTACACGAGATTTGTACACACCCTTCCCCTAATATTAAACATCTGCACACCATAACCCCTGTAATGGCTGAGAGATGCAAGTTAAAAAAAAAAAAAAAATTATATTATATTATTATTATTATATATATATATATATATATATATATATATATATATATATATATATATATATATATATATATATATATATATATATTTTTTTTTTTTTTTTTTTTTTTTTTTTTATATAGAGTACCACCTCTGGCTGGAAGAAGGGGGACCCATAGCCTCGGAGGAAACCACACATAACGCATTGGAGGGAATGTGGGTCCCCTCCAATACAGTTTCTGTGTGCTTTTCTCCTACCACCCCCTTCCCTTTTTTTTTTTTTCCTTTATTGTGTATTTAAAGGTTACAAAACATACAAGACAAATGCCTAAAGGTTATGGATCTCTTGAAGCTCCTCCGCTTCTGGACAGGAACCGAGGACGCAGCAAGCATTTCCCCTCTGGATCGCCACACTGTGACGCTGAAATAAAAAACTGGAAGCCCTTGGGTCTCTGGTGACGTCAATGAGCTTGGACCCCAATTCCTTGAGAAATCCCAAGGCACTCTTGCCCCAGGGGCCATGCGTCTCAGACGCTATGGGAACAAAGAGGTATTGACCTTCCAGTCGCCTGTACTTGAGTGATTTTGCTGTTTCCCTGTGGTTGGCCGCCCCACCTGCTTGATCAGCTCCGAAGTGTACATAGGTGTCAGCCAGGGTGGATACACATGTGTAGTCCCACACCAACTGTCTACCCTCCTTCCATGAGTATATGGTGATGCCATCAGGGCGAAGTGCTGGGAAATCCGGGTTTTGGACCCCTAGGATGCGAGGTTCTCTCTCCGCTGGGCACCCAGCTGAGACGAGGCTTCTCTTGATGATGTCATTGACCTCGTTGTGTCTTGCATGCCAGCCCTTTGTGCTTCCGCAATGCAACCCATGCAGTCCGTATTGGTCTGCTTCCACCCTGTTGCAAATACACTTGTATTCAGTGTGAATTGGGGCACCAAGGCGGAGGGCCACTGCTACACGAAGGGATTCTGGATCTAGGCGCGTGCCCATTGCAGACATGGGTACTGCCAGGAGGAAGTCTCCTGCATGGGGGGCACGCACTGCTCTGAGGCGGGCTTTCTCCTTGTCTGATGTTGCGACGCTTAGCATGGCATCAGCTACTTTTTCCACTAGAGGGTGGTCCCAGCCGGACTGTTTGTGTTGTTTTGTTGGCTCTATAATGGTTGCTGGGGCTGCAAGAACATTCCACTGATTTGAACATTCAGTGAAAGCAGGATCGTGTATTCCTGCTGAATCTCTCAGGGTTGCAGGTAAAATATCTCTGACGAGGTCGTGCGATGCATGAGAGGAGGAAAGGAAGGCTGGTAGAGCAATTTGGGAGGCTGTGCGGACACCAAGGCCGCCGAGTCTTACAGGAAGGGTTGCTTGCTCCCACTGAGAGTCGTCCAATGGCAGGTTCAGGACTTTCACCAGCATGGACCTCAGAAGGGTGTCATACACATTTAACTTAGGGCTGCTGTAGGATGGAGAACATCTCAGAAAGTAGGTCAACTTAGGGAGAGACAGGCATCTTGTAAGGAGAAAGAGAGCATCATGGGCATCAATCTTGTCAATCCTGTCCTGCATTCTCTTTAGGTCAGTGATTTTTGCAGCCAGGACCTCCTCGATTGCTCGTGGGCCAATGGGGGCACCCAGGAGAGTGCAGTCCGGTGGTTCGACAACGAGAATGTCTGGAAGAGCATTTTGTATTTGCCCAGTGATGTCTGGGTTGCGGGAGATTATTTCACATTTGGATGCATTGAGAATGAGGCCTAAGGCTGCTCCCTGCTCATGGATTTTCCTTATATCCCCCAAAATGGTTTCCGGAGTTCCAGCTAGAGTGCCATCATCCAGGTACCAGATGTTTAGCTCGCTTGTCAGACTATCAGTGACCTCTTTGATAGCTAGGCAGAAAAGGAGATAGATAGATATATATATATATATATATATATATATACTGTATATATATATATATATATATATATATATATATATATATATATATATATATATATATATTTTTTTTGGTAGCAGTCTCTCTTGTAAACATATGGTGTTAAATATGACAGAAAAGGTAAGATTAATAATTCTAACCCGAATTTTCTTAATATTTCATATGTTTCTTTTCACTGTTGATGGTAATTGAAAATTCAATTCTCCAAAATTTATTTTTATTTCTAGTCTGACGTGATGCCTGAACGCGTTTTGTAATAACTTATTATTTCATTTTCAAAGACTTTAGTTTACACACACAACTGTAACCTGTAAACACACATCCATACTTATATGTACTCACATTTGGGTGAGGTGATATGGTACAAAAGTTTTGGGGGGGTTGATTGACATTTGCACAAGACAGAACACAAACCAATGGGTATAAAAACATAAGAATGGAAGTAACTGCAGAGGGCCTATTGGCCCATAGCATCAACACTTGCTCTTGATCCTTCTATATTGGTTCGGAGTCTTGAAGTGGGTAGAATATAGTTGTGTATTAATTGGCTGTTGGTTTGCTGGTGTTGACTGTTTTATGTGTAGTGCCTTGCAGATGTCGAGCCTCCTGCTATCGCTGTATCTATCGACTTCTGTGTTTGTTAAGATTTCTCTGGTGATAGTCTGGTTGTCAGAAGAGATATGTTCCTTGATGGAGTCCTGTTGTTTATGCATTGTTAATCACCTGGAAAGAGACGTTGTTGTCTTGCCTATATACTGAGTTCTTTGGGGCTTACAGTCCCCAAGTGAGCATGTGAAGGCATAGGCAACATTGGTTTCCTTCAAGGCATCATGCTTGGTGTCTGGAGAGTTTCCAAATTTTTTCTTATGAAATGATAAATCTGTCCATTTCATTATGTATAAGTTAATTTGTTTAAATTTGAGTTAAAACTAACGTAGATATATGACTGAACCTAACCAACCTTACCTTACCTTACCTAACCTATCATAACCTAACCTTAACTAACACAAGTCAATAAATTATGTTCTCAATATAAAATAATAATAATAATTCAAATAAACTATTTGGAAAAAATTATTGAAAATAAAGAAAATCACTCGGCCTATTAGGCAAATCGGACCTAGCATAGTAGGCCGAGAAGTGCGTTCTGGCTACTAGGTACGACATACATACATACATATACATACATACATATACATACATATACATACATATACATACATACATACATACATACATACATACATACATACATACATATATATATATATATATATATATATATATATATTTTATTTTATTACTCTCTTACTCTCCCACCATGAGAGTAAGGACAAGACCAGAACATAACAATGCCAACACAGAAGACACTGTTCAACATAACAGGCCAATTACACCTGATTAATCTTTGTATGTAGATAGGAGCTGTCTCGTATGGGCCAATAGGCCTTCCGCAGTTACCTCTATTCTTATGTTCTAATGTTTCACCCCCATTTATCCCTTATGTATCCCCCATGTTTTCACCTTTATTGTCTTTTCACCTGACACAGAGAGGGTATAAAATCAACCAGTTCTGTAAATTCTATTCACTTGAGAATGAACCATGGAGGTTCGAAACGTTGTGCAAATTGTATAAATAAGTGTAATACATTCTATAATAATTCACTTCTTTTCTTCACCTTGAAATTACGAAAATGAGATTTGGAGAACTCCTCTTTCAGCCAAGCCCTGATGCTAAGAAAATAGTTAGAGGGATAGAAGCCCTAAATCAGAAGATAGTAAATACAGAATATGCGGTCATATTCAATGAGACATGTTTAAAAGAAAACCTGCTGTCAGTATACACCAATATATATATATTATATATATATAGATATATATTAGGGGTACCACCACTGGTGCAATTGCAGGGACCCACATCCTCGAAGAAGAAAACAAAGAGCATTCAGAGAAGATCTTGAGGATTCTCACTGAATACTTTATTCTTTTCTTCTCCTACCACCCCTATTAATTTTTTGTATGTTTTGTTTTATTTTATTGCAATGCTATTCACACATTTGATCTTATAAAAAGGCTGTTACCCTTTCTTTTACCTAGGATTTTACTAATTATTTAGGCACTGAACTGAATAAACCAACCTTCTTCCACCACTCGGGACCTTGTAGAGGTCCTCGACCAGTCTTTACAGATTTGAACTTAGTTGGGTCTTCATCGGGTTTATAGTCTGCAGTCTTCACTGCATCGTTAGAAATGTCAATGGGTACTACCTCTCGTATCTTCAGCTTCTCCCCTGATAGTTCATGCGCCTGGAAGAAAATCACTGAAGTTATTATTACAATGCAAAAAAAAAATAGCAGTCATTTTTATTATTAAAGTTTTAAAATTATTCAAAACAAAATCATGCTAACTTATCTGAAGGTTTGATTAATCCACTTGTTACTACTGGTGAAGCAACATCCTCTGAGGTAAATTTGTTGATTACTTTTCTTAGGTAGCCTCAAGAAGAGAGCCAATGTGCAGACAAAGATTAGCAACTATTAATTATCCCATAATGGATCAAGCATGCATTAACCTTTCAGTAAGAAAACAATTTCCAGTTACCAGTGGAGGTTATTTAATTTTCAAATATTGAACATTGTAAATGTAATGTTTTTATTGTATACTGTAGTACCACCTCTGGAATCCAAACTACTGTAAATCATCCCAGACTTAATCCAACCCGTCCTCAGACCAAGTCAGTTCCATCCAGCGGTCGACTCCAAAGACACATTCATAAATTTTAACATTCATCCAAAATAGGAATTTTCTCAAATATAAAGTAATATTGTTAAATATTAGCATACTGTGCATATTTAGGCACTGATTAGGTTAGGTGTTTAGGTTCTGTTGGCAATTATTTGTATTTGTAGTAAGTGAATGAAGCATTTAGAGCGTTATGGTTCAAACAAATGTCGTCAGCGAAGAACTTGTTCTGGAAATGTTCGAACGTTGTCAGTTGTGAGTCGTGTGTAAACCATTTTTCATTCATCGGGGTTCGGCGGGTGCATGGAAACACATTTGGCCTTTGTTTATGAGGATGGGCTGCCTTATCAGACTTATAAGGTCTGAGACCAAATATCTGGATCTTTGAACGCTTGGCTATTATCACTATGCTGTACTGTACTTATTTTGGAAATTTTCTTATAGCAAATCAAACAACACATCTTTGTGCACAATTGTACAATAAACAATAACTATTTTTACTTACCTTAATGATGATAATCCATATTGTTACAGTCAATACTGTACTGATAAATTACTTTACAATTTTTTTTATTTTAATTTTAGGTAAAAAACTGTCTGCCTTTTTCCATCAGAATCCACCCTCACTCCCTCAGAAACTGTCCAAGACCCAACACCTCTGTTCCTGTCCTCGCTTTCCAGCCATAACTTTTCCATACAATTGCTTTTTAGTCCATATTAAGAAAATACTACATTCTCCTACTTAGTTTACTCTTGCTAGCCATATTTTTCTACTCAAGTATTTCTATATAGAAATATAAAAATGATTAAAGAAGAGTAAGTAAGTAATTATCAAAAGAAGGCACCAAACCGGGAAGGCTATGTATGATTGAAGAAGAGGTAACCTCAAAAATACCTACTGGAAAGGATAGCATGACTGGGACATGTCCAGTGACAGGGGTACTGGGTTTTTATTATAATACTCTCGTTTTAAAGGTGAAGGACGAGCCCTTACATAAAGGTATGTCTCATTAGACATATTATACTTACTAGATTAGATTACACACTGGTTTTTTATCTACACTATGTAATCTTTCATATAAAATAGGGTAGCAGCACATTGCTGTGTATACCTAAGCTTGTTAAAAATAATAGACATATAAACCTTGTATTCAGGAAGAATGAGCAAGGAAGAAAACCCATAACCTTACAATACCAACAGCTTAGGCACTAACCATACCAACACAGATAACTAATGATCGTCAATTACATAATCCAGAGACAAGCAATGACTGTATACTTAATGTGGACAAAAATCATTCACTAACAGCAGGAGCCGACTGCACAATAAAACAAAGTAAAACAAACACACGACCGAATTATTATTTAAACTAACTTTCCATATATAATCTAGGGTAATTATATGGGTTAAGTACATTATGTTGAAAAAATAAAAAAAAACCTGTGCCAGCCTTAAGTATATAGAGGAAGTAGCCAATAGGAATCTCAGGTGGACAGTCTGTGCTACCTTGAAAATATGTGGGTGCTGATACTTAGTGATGTTTGGTGTAACACTGTCGACCAGTAATTACCAAAGATATCCTTGACAGTCTAAGATGCAAAAGTACAGTAATGTTTGGAGAGGGATCTAGTGTAGTTATACAAACCACCTTTATGTTATTCCAGTGTATATTGAGACTTTTCCAGTGTATTCCTTGCAGCAGTATGACCCAATGGGGATATCTAAAAAGATCTATTGCACTACAGATGAAAATAGATGCAAAGATCTACTGTGAAATGCTGCCATGTCTTTGATGAATGTTGTGTTCGTGTGAAAAGTATGACATTACCCAAGTGACTAACCAAGTGGAGCACCTCAGAAAGATCCACATTTATCCCATATAAACATACAATTTTATATACCAGTTTCTCATATTTGTTTACTTACAACATCTAGTCCAGCCACAATTTAATGTGATTTTATTTTTGAGTGAACAAAAAATTTCATTACATTTTATTAATACATTCTATAATTTTTTATAATTGTTAAAATTGGTCATAATTAATTTTTATATCTATTATTTAAAAGGACAGCTTGTTGTAGAGTAACCTAGTTAACAGCAATGAGCAACTACCACAAAATGTACCACAGATGTTACCGGACCCCCAATATAAAGATTACTAATGAAAAGAAGTGACTTACATTCTCCATGGTTCCCATGTCAGCAACATGAAGTGTCTCAATGCTAATGATAAAGTTTTTCTTCATATAGCCAGGATTCTGCCATGCAAACCAGGGGAAGAAAGGTAAAGATATAATCATGAGAATGGTGTCAGTTGCACAAGAAACGGAAGTAAATAAATGAGAACAAATCTTGGCATGTTGAAACTTGCAGAGTTAATCAGATAGCCAATCTTACCTGTTGCGTGAAGGAACCAAACATCCTCTTACCTGCTGAGCTAAATCAATGGTAAAGGATTAGAGAGAAAGTCAAGAAATGGCAACAGTTTGCACCTGCAGTGTGAACCTAACTTTGTGGAGGACTAGAATATAAAGCAAAGCTGTGTTAGGTGTAGTGGACTTTCCTAGGACAGTAACCTACGTGTAACTTTTGCTTGCTATATTCCTACAATTCTGCTGCATTACTGACTCGAGATCTTAACCTTCTGTCTCTTAAGCAATACTCTGCAAGCTGTAGCTACATAAAAATTGATACTACGACCATGCTGCATTATTGCCTCGAGATCTTAACCTTTTGTCTTTTAAGCAATACTCTGCAAGCTGTAGCTACATAAAAATTGATACTAAATATGGAAATGCAAGTCAGCACTGCCCCAACATGAGATATTAAAAAACAAGCTGGTAACCTAGATTATCATAATCACCCTTACTTCAACCTGATATCAGTCCAGCACTGCAATCTTAATGGTCTTATGAGCCTAGCAACTCTAGTGGGGTTTATAGATTATACTTTGATCATTATAGTTATTTTTATATAATGAGTAATATTTAATATCTTCACAAATAAAATTTACAACAATCTATTCGTTACTAAATGTCAAAAGTGAAGTACAGATATCTGCATAAAATGTAAATTGAAGCTAAGCTCAATTTATTATTCTAAGACCTCCAAAAATAAATATGGATGATAAACTGACTAGCATAAAATTTCAGCAATATTTGTGTTACTGAAGTGAGGTGGAGCATTATGAGGAGGAGCAAAGAGAAGTGATCACTCCAGGATGCAAACTGTAAGGCACATGTTATTGCAATGGAGAGCCTATATTAGAAACAATCATCCAAGTATTTAAGGTTTCAAAACTAAGGATAGGTTAACCAGGAAAGGGACCATGCCTTTTTTTTGTATACAATAGTATATTAAACTTGGAGCTTAATAATAAGAACATTTCAACACTGTCATGCTGTGTTTGTAACTGTTGATGTATTCATATATAAAGAGCACAACATACTGTATGTAACGAGTAAGTCAATTATCATGGCAGGAAAAACAACAACACTAAATCCAAGCTTTAACCATGATTTTTTTTTGGTCTTGTTCTTTGACCACAATTAAGTAAAATTATATAGTAGTCCAAAACAGAAACAAAGTGTCATGCTGGATTCTGATAATCAACACAATCACATATCTTTAGTCAATAATGGCCAGGAAACCTGGTGTTGAGACAAACCATTTTGTCCAGGAAACCTGAAGAATTAGATTTGAAGAGACAGGTGTAGTGAGGAGAATGAGAAACAAGAACCATTTACAAGAGAATGAAAAAGCAAGCAAGAAGTGGATCACTGGTCAACAGTTGTTCAGTATCCACTCAGCAAGTACAAGAAATATTGCCTAAACAAACCTGGAAGTCTTCAAGAAAAAAACTGGATAGTTTTCTGCAACAAGTGCCAGACCAAATGGGCTATAGTGGACATGTAGGCCACTCTAAGCAACAGCCTGTTGGACCAAGCTCACAAGTTAAGCCTGGCCGCAGGCTGGGCTTAGGGAAAAGAACTCCCAGGACCCCATCCAGGTTCAGGATGAAGCATTTTCTTCTTATTACAAGCTGCTGTTGGAGGGGTTTACTGGGATTGGAACTTTTAAATTAGTGATACAGACAAGTGTTTGAGATATCTAATAGAGGGGGAAAAAAACTGTTAAGGCAGGTCATGACAAATGGTGGGTTACCTGACACTGGATTATCATGAAAATGTGTATAATACTCAATTCATGAAGGGTTGTGAATGTGGTACTAATTATTAAGTGGGATTGGTCACTTGTATCAAACTACCTGCCAATTACCTATCTTTATTGTAAGGAAAGTGGATTTAACATATTTGTAAATGCTATTCTTACACATCTTCAAAAACAAATAAATAGAAGCCTCCAGCATAGCTTTATTAAGAACCACTCATGTTTAATAAATTTAGTTGCATTTATTTCCAGCACATTTAAAGCATTTTATAGTGAAAAAGATTGCAACATTATATATCTTCGACTTAAGCAAGGCCTTTAATACTGTATCTCAACTAAATAAAAAGCAACAGGTACCTGGTACACTTTGTATTGGAGGGGTTCACCTGGGACCTATTGTGTTTTAGTCTGTATATAAAATGGCTGCAAGAATGACAATTGAATACAGTATATTATTTAAATGTAATTATTTTAATGAATTTGTGTGCACATGCCAGTTAATATCAGTATTTAAGGAACAGCTGTAATGCATTTTTTACTATTAATTTTTATTACAATGGCCAGATTGACGGGTATTTCTCACCAACAGAAAATGCCATCTGACAGTGTATGTGTTAATTAAACAAAAGTCCTAATGAGAAAAACTCCTTTAGTGAAAAAGTTTTGCATGTACTCTTTCCCTGATTAACCTATCCCATATAAAGCCAAGAGAAGTGATTTGCACTGTGGCTAGAAGAGATGGCGCACAGCCTCAACATGCTGTTACTCGGGAACTGCACCACTCACGTTCTCCATATCACCATCTCCTGGGGCATGAAGGGTTTCTATTGAGATGTAAAATCCTTCCTTCATATAGCCTGGATTCTGAAAGGTAACTGCTAGTTTTAGCAACAAAACATTACTATAGCATAATGTAGAAAGAATCCTGCAAGAATAATTTTTATTAGTTACTAACACTGATGAATTTTAAAATTCTTTCAACTAAACTTGGCACGTTCAAACCCAAATGAGACCTTTTTTTCTGGCCAGTATTTCCCACATCAAAGAAGTTTTCTATAGAATTTGACCTAATAGTATATGGTTATAAAATCCTTATATATTTAATGTACTTTCTTTGTTGAATTATTAGCTAAAGAACTACTTAAAATAAAATAAACTTTCACCACCGGAGTCACAAAAGTTGCCGCCCAGTTTCCAGTAACTGAAGGCACTCTCAGAAGATACTGACAATTCAATGTCCCAGATTGTCTTGACCACCTTCTTCATACACAGCCAAGTCATTTACACTCACACTCAACTGTCATAGATTTGCGAGAGAGAGTACTTAATTCATTTATTTTCATTTGGGTTATCTTGAGATGATTTCGGGGCTTTAGTGTCCCTGCGGCCCGGTCCTCAACCAGGCCTCCACCCCCAGGAAGCAGCCCGTGTCAGCTGACTAACACCCAGGTACCTATTTTACTGCTAGGTAACAGGGGCATAGGGTGAAAAAAAAATGCCCATTGTTTCTCGCCGGCGCCAGGGATCGAACCCGGAACCACAGGATCACAAGTCCAGCATGCTGTCCGACCGGCCGAGCCGACCGGGTGACAACACCTACTGTTCTAAGAATTGTTTCTTCTTATTTAATAAGGGTTTTGTACTAAAACTGAATACAGAGTACTGCAGTATTCTAAAGGAGTTCAGAAATTTCCTACCATACTACCCTGACAATGATCATGCCAACTAAATGAGGCAAATCAAGAAGAATATTTACCAAAACAAACAGAACTTTCTAGCTAACCAAAGTATTTCATAATTACTGTGAAGTACAATACCCTGAACAGTACTGTACTGCATTTATTAATGTAACACTCGTTTGGGTACCCAGTGTTGATGGATGACAGAGGTCACAGGTTAACTACATACAACCATCATTACTGTGAATATCTTTACACCCATCCCTGTCTCCACTTATGCACACACCACATCCCTTTCTCCTCCAAATACACACTCATGAACACGACACGGCTCAGAATGCTCTAGGATTATAAATTCTCATTGTTATCTAGATGGTAGTGTAGGATAGAGGTGCACAAGTGGGGTCCCAGATATTATAAATATACCAGGATCTGTAATAGAAGGGAGTTACATATATTGAAAAAGAATTTACAAATCTGGGAAAATTAAAAGTAAGGGCTACCATAAGCAGCTGAAAATCATAATGGCAGACTTGACATAACCTTTGTGTGGCAGAGAACCAAGATGTTATTAGAATTTGTATGGTCAAGACAGAAAAATCTTCAGAAATGGTGAGCATTAATCCATTAAAATTCCACACTGCTTTTGCATACCAAGAGCCACACTGATGTAATAATTGGATAAAGTCGATCTACACCCCCACAAATATTCCATCAATCATATCAGCGAATGGATGTAATTCAACGAATACAGAGTGAAAATTTTATTAAATTTCTCATTCTTTAAGGACATGCAACATACGAGTGCAGCAAAGGCGATGTAACACCAATTTTTTCTTTTAATACAGTACTGTTACTTCAATGCAAAGCTGTAACAATGTTGTGTGTATGATAAAAGTTTAATGCTGACAAATGTAAGGTTTTGAGGTTAGGTAATGATGATAAGAGTTACAAGATACGAGCTAGATGGTGTTGAGATTGCAAAGTCGGATTGCGAAAGGGAGCTGGGAGTTATGATTAGTAAGAATTTAAAAAAAAAAATCAATGCATAAATGTTTGTAATAAAGCAAATACAACACTGGGATTTATTTATAAAAGCATTAGTAATAAGACACCTGGTGTTGTTCTTCAGCTATATCTTGCTCGTTAGGCCTCATTTAGATTATGCAGTTCAGTTTTGGTCGCCATACTATTGAATGGAAATAAATTTACTAAAATGCATCCAGTGTAGGATGACAAAATTAATCCCACAAATTAGAAACCTGTCATATGAAGAGAGATTGACAAAGCTTAAATTACATTCTCCAGAAAGGCGAAGAATTAGGGTTGACATGATAGAGATGTACAAGTGGATGAATGGATATAACAAAAGGAATATTAATAGGTATTAACAGTATCAACACAAGACAGAACACGAAATAATGTGTATAAATGGGACAAGTATAGATTCAGGAAAGACCTAGGTAAATATTGGTTCGGCAATAGGGTTATTGATTTGTGGAACCAATTACAGCGTAACATAATAGAAGTTGGATCCCTTCATTGTTTCAAGAGTAGGTTATATATATGAATGTGATTAGATGGACATAAATAGGAGCTGCCTCGTATGGGCCAATAGGCCTTCTGAAGCTACCTTCATTCTTGCATTCTTATTAAGTTAAAAAATCAATTGAAAGTCTATGGAAAACCAAACCATTACTTCGGTATCTTACAGAGTTTGTCGTTGCAATAGGAACCCATCCTCTTAAAATAACAATGCTTTGTGCTCATATGTGCGCTACGGCCAAAAATGGATGTAATTTGAAATGAAATCGGCTCATGAAAGTGATGTACTGTTCTGCTTTATGTTTGAGTCCTCCGGCTTGGGTTAGGAGAGGAAATTTTCAATTAATGGTTTTCATGCTGTTTTGAAACCTTCAGAGACAGAACTCCCATAAGACTTGCCCTCCTATCCTACCAGAGGACCCTTAACTTGTTGTTTTGAAAAAAACAAAACCCAAAATTTATTTTCAATTATTTTTTATTTTCAAATTATGTCTATTTTCGCCCATATGGGCAAATGGCCAAATTCAGACGTAATCTGTAAGAGGACAGGTTGCCTTATGACACTCCTTATACAATCACAAATCACCATGGAAAATGGCTTGAGTCTAATTGCAACATTTGGCCTCCAACTATGGACAGACAGACATTCTTAAAGATATAGATTTCCACCCATTACCTTACCACACTCCTTGCTCATTATATAAGATTACCTTTCATCATCTAGGTCTAAACAGATCATTTAAAGACTCAGAAATATAACTTTATATTTTGCCATGTCCACCTACAACAATTCAAATTCAATCTCGATGATGTACAAGCAAATTGCCAAATGTTGGGTAAAGCTGCCCACATCTGATAGGGTGCCAGTTCCTGGACATTGGGCAGGAATATGAACTGCATGTACATATAAATGAGCCACAAAAATGCCAGGAACTCTTGGAATATACTTCAAAGACATTGAAACATGAAAGGTATCTAATATAAAAAGTCAGAATAAATATCATAACATTAATTTGTTTACACTTTAGAGCAAAGAGGGTGGGGGGGGGGGGGGGGGGGTCGAGAAAATAAGGGATATTTGATTAAATTTTGTCTCTTGCTTTCGAGTGAATGTATGGTCCTTAAATTGCAGCATGAAACAGGAGTAGACATCAAAGTCCCTAATGCATAATACAGTAAATGTTTCCTAACAACAGCCCCAAAGTCATCCCTTTCTGGTATTAGGGCACCAAGACCAAGCACAGAAGCTTCAAACCAATAATTACAAAACAAAAGGCAGTATAATATAGACCAGGGGTCTCCAAACTTTTCAGCATGCTGGCTGCATTGTATATTTTACACATTTTCACGGGCCAAAGTAAATGATCAGTTTTATATATTAATAAATACGTTTCATTTAGATCTTTTATTGGCTAATCAGTATAATATGGAACAAAAGAAAAATGCGAGTTATAATAAAAGTATGCCATGCTTACAAAGGGAAATGGTATATAATTAGTGAAAATGTCAAACCTTAAGAAATTTTATTTACTGAAATTTTACAAATGCTAAACTGAAATGAGAATTTGCCAAATTTTGTGGAACACAGTAAGGCAAATAAACATACCTCAAGAAAAATTCAGCAAAACAAAAAATTCAAAATAAACTCATCACCATCAATAAAGGTTAAACAAAAATAAATTCAGTCTGAACCTTTCAACATAAGTTCATAGGAAATTCCACAAATTCAGAGAATTTGAAAACAAAAATGTACCAGTACATTGTATTAATTTTTCCTGACTGCCAAGCAACAGATTCAGACAATAAAAAGCAGCAGGGCATACATATTTTCAAGAACCAAAAAACTAATTTACTCTGGACTGGCAATTGGAGATTTCAATTGTGACCAACAAATCAAAGTTTTGCACAAGAAGATTACTGTAATGGGAATGATGGAACTAGATGAGTCAACTGCCTGATCGTATGCTTGAAGGAAAAAAAAAAAATGGAAATTATTAATGATATTTATATATTTCCCATTGCTGCAGGCTGGATGTGACCTGTGAGTAGTAGTTTGGTGATCCCTGATATAGATCATAATATACATGGTTACACTGGCAAAATTTCCTAGAAGTGGGAAATATATCTTGCCATCTGGGGCCAGATTCACAAAGCAGTTACGCAAGCACTTACGAACCTGTACATCTTTTCTCAATCTTTGGCAGTTTTGTTTACAATTATTAAACAGTTAATGAGCTCCGAAGCACCTGGAGGCTGTTTATAACAATAACAACAGTTGATTGGAAAGTTTTCATGCTTGTAAAATGTTTAATAACATTTGACCAAAGCCGTCAAATATTGAGGAAAGATGCCCATGTTCGTAAGTACTTTCGTAACTGCTTCGTGAATCTGGCCCCTGGATACTAGCATCAGGTCGATCAGAATTGGCACATACTGTATTACTGGAACGCCATTTTCTAGCTAATCATCTCTGTAAACATTACATGTACAGCATTCCATTCCATTCTAATTTTATTTTACTGGACAAAGCTGCTTACTTCAATTCATTACCAGTTTTGTTTAAGAAATTTTATATTTTCTTTGCCTACCGTTAGAACCAATTACTGTACTGTCTGGCAACTACACACATTACCCTATTGAGACGAATAAGTTTCTCTACCAAGCTCAACACGAAATAATTAAGCTATTATACTTGCACTGCACTAAGCACAAAGTATTATAAATAAATAAATTAATAAATAAGATTCTTTGAAAGATTGTGCTAACAGGAAAGAGCATTCACTTACCGAGATAATAGTCCTACAGTATGGATAGGCATTCCAAGCTTCTTCGTGGACCTCTAACGATCCCTCAGGTGCTAAAAGTCTAATAAATGCTGGTACTTTACTGAGGAATAAATAAAAAACAGAATTAAACTTACAGTATTAAATCATTACAAGTGATCACTTACAAAAACAACTGATAATTAAACTTACTATATGTGAACCATAAGGTTTGGAATTCCAAGGAAAAATGCCAATGAAAAAAAATGCAGCAAATACAAACAATAACAAATTATAATTAATGAGCTATGATAAAGATGTAAAGAATGAGACAACCAAGTTTTAAACAAAGTGAAGACATTCATTCATGTATTGCAATTTTGTGCATTATATTTCACTCCATTACCATTAAATTAAGGAAACTACTTTCTTCAACACAATATCAAGATTTTATATGCAATTTTTCCTCCAAAGGTATTATAGGAAAATGTATAATATAGTATAATATACTGTATGAAGCACTATTCTTGGTATCTTAAATAACTGAAGAATGACAATCAAGAGATGGGAAACAATGATTTTGCCAGACTACAACAACCAATCCTGCCTAGCCTCATGAATGTACATCGTACTGTACATAGAAAACTCTTGCAGAACAGAAGAGTGAGTGAAACACCTAGAAAATTTTATATATTCGGATATATACAGTTGATGCTTATCTTACTACTCCCAGAGCCTGATTGACTGTGGATGCCTGATTATTGACTGTGAATGCCTGATTGACAGTGAATGGGTGACTGACCGTAAATGCCTAACTGGTTGCTACCACAACAGTGAATGCTCGACTACCTTTGGTTATGACTGTGTTGTGTATGAAAAATATGAGTACAGTGGAACCTCTATTAACGAGTTTAATCCGTTCTGGCACCGAGCTCGTTACCTGGAAAACTCGTCTTTGGAAACAAATTTCCCCATTTAAAATAAAGGAAATAAATTTAATCCGTTCCACTCCCAAAAACATCCATACTTGTATGACTTTTTTTATGTAAATATAATACTGCACATGTAAATATAAATGTTTTGTTGTAGTGTTTTAATATTTACTTTACCTTATGAAGAGTAGTTGCTGGCTTGAGGGAGACAATGGAGAGGTGGGAAGGAGGAGAGGGGTTATGGTGTGGAAGGAGAATCCACCTCTGAGTCAGGCGGACTTTCTCTTCTTGGGAATTTCACCCAAATTTCATTTCAAATGTCACACAAGGATGCGTTAGACCAGCACCAAATAAAAAACTACGTTGATTACACTCGTTGTGTCAACAATATAATAGTCTTACCCCGAAGATACAATACAATGCCGTTTTCTCAAATAGGCAATGTGGTTATTAAAGAAAATGGAAATTTCATGGCAAACTTGTATACAATCCCCAAGTCAATCGGATAAGAATTGGATTTTATAGAAATATTTGCTCAAATGACGCTTGAGCGCGGTGTTTGGGAACATTCAAGAGAAAAAAAGTGTGTTATGTTCAAGCGACATATACCTGCGAAAGTGATAACACTTTCATAAAGTGTTATCACAAAGTGATAAATTAATTAAACATTTTCACACACCGGGTTGTCACTGCTTTATCAGGGCAGCTTTTCCAAGAATGCGTTCACCTTTTCAAACATTCCAAACACTTCCCTGATCTCAGTTTAAGAGGCAGCATCCTCCCTTACCTCCTCATTCCCTTACTAATGATGTAAATTGTTGATGAGGACCTGCCATACTTCCTTGTGAGATCAATCACATAGACACCACACTCATGCTTTGCTATAATTTCCTTCTTTAAATCCACAGTAATTGTGTCTTTCTTCCTCTTGACAACACTATCTTTAGCAAGCAGCTTCTTTGGAGACATCGTTTGTTACAAATTGTAGTCGCAAAACCACTAAAAACCCAAAGAAAAGCTCAAATAAATCCAGAGGGATGCTTGTCGTGTGAGATACAACAACAACACTGGCGTCGGAGGCGTCCGAGAATTTGCGAGAACCCGCGAGACGCTAGGAAGCGCCATGTGGTTTCACTCGTTAATAGAGGCGAGCTCGTCAATACAGACAAATTTGCTGCGAGTGGCTTGCTCGTTACTGGAAAAACTCGTTAATAGAGCCACTCGTTAATAGAGGTTCCACTGTAGTATTCTTTATAAATGTATTTTTAAGTTAAGTTAATATTTTTGGGTGCCTGGAATGGATTAATTCAATTTACATTATTTCTTATAGGAAAATTCGTTTCGAGTTACGAATTTTCGAGTTACGACCAGTCTCTGGGAACGGATTAAATTTGTAAGTGTACAACTATACAGTACTGTACAGTATATGGTAACCCAGGAGAGCACTTTGGGACAATCCACTTACAACAGTTTCGACTCTCCTCTACTTTTTAAGAAACAATCATGCCCTAATCAAACTTAGGATAATACTGTACCTTCAATACTAAGTACCTTTAACTTTTGAAAGAGCCTAAGTAGTACCTATTTATTTACTCGTGCAACCTGGCCCGTGGCCAGCCTTCTCTGGTGATTATGTGGTGTGAAGGGCTGTTTGGTTTCTTAGACCAAAGGCTAACATAGCCATTACATCCAGGAAGATCCAGTAAAGAAAGTTTTAATAATTGCTCCAGCAACATTTCTTATATATGTTGGCAAGAGATTAAAGTTGTGGACTTTTCAATAGATTTATTTTGCATCACCTACCATCTCTTACACTCCAGTATGTTGAAATTTTATTGTGCAGATTTGGAACCTGACCTTTTAATATTTTCCAGGTGTATATTATGTGATATCTTTCTTGCCTTCATTTCAAGTACAGTTTGAGTGCTGTGAGTCTGTCCCAGTAATTTAAATGCTCCACTGATACTGTCTGCATAGTGAAACTTTGCACACTCATGAGGCACAGTATCAAAGGCTCAGTTGAAATCAAGGTACAAAATGTTTTAATCCTTTCCACTGCCAACTGATTAAAATATACTAGAAAAGAATGAATAGATTTATTAAACTTGGGCAGCCTTTAGTAAAGCCACTTTATGAATTCATTATTAATCTGTTTAAGATAAAAATAATTGGCTTTTGTGATTATTAATTTGAGCTAACTGGACAACATCATTAACTTCGACATACTATACTGCAATTAATATGTCGACACAGGTGATCCATCTCCCATCATAAAAATCTAGACAAAATTGACAACCTTCCATGCTTCCGATACTCTTCTCAACTTATGCTCAACTTTTTTCTTTGTATCTCTGATTAGCACAGGGCATCAGCTCCCTTTCTTAATCATCAGGTCTATGGCAGCCTCTGATGTATCCAATTCCTAACCAGTGTAGTGCATTATTTTGTCTGATGATCTTGTCCTCTGATGTCACCTAAATTTCTTCCCTCAGCTCAGGCAGGTCACCTTGCTCTACTGTGAACCTGTTTATCCAAAAGCATGGCTACAAGAGCAAATAATTGTAACAGGAGTAAATCTATGGAAGAAATCAAAATATACATGCTTAAATTTTAATATTTTAGATTACATAATTCTGAAAAATAACAAAATATGAAAGTTATTTACCTTTTAAGATGATAAATTTTGTAGGTGTACTGACCACTACTGAACCTATTGCCTAATAGTGGATGGTTATCAAAAGGTTCATTTTTAAGAACCTCGACTCCTTCCCCGCCTCCAGTTTCATTTTTACTTGCCTCGGCTACACTATACAGCTGAGCCACTTGATACTGCAATACAAGTACTGAATGAAAATCTTGGAACTAGAACAGTATGTAATCCTAATTTTCAAAACATTTTTCACCTGGAGTAAAGTCGCCCATATTTAATTCTGAACAGTCGAAGATATCTAGCAACCAAAGCCCTAAGTATACTATAGAGCATCTCCCATTGGGTATAACAAAATGCCAGGAATCCATAACATTTATTTCAATAACACATTGTAACATAACTAATGCAAAACAGCTAGATTAAGAATGTTAACACTTTTTCATAACTGCACATGCTTTGAATAAAAGTTAGTAAATTTGTTTTAAAACAGTTTGAGAGGCTATATGTAATTTGTTTTTCTAATGTTCAGGAACACACAGTTCTTAAACTGTGGTATGACACGAGAAGACACTTAGAATGGTGTAAATAATTATCAGAGGCACCAGGCCAGGGACACTGTAGCACCATCAAAGTCACAGGAGATTTAAAAGGAGCTAAATCACTAAGGATGCCAATACAACAACAACAAAATGCATAAGGCAAGCAATATCAAAGTTATCAGATTCATCTAGGATTCTATCGAGAGAGAAATGACCACGAGGGACAGTCAGGAAGCAAGAGAGACATACTGCCTGAAAATCAGGACATTCAACAAGGAGATGCACGATTGTAAAAGGGACAATGCAGTTTGGACAATAAGGAACAGGGCAGGACTCCATTAAGTGCCCGAGAGTTAAATGTAAATGGCCAATACATAACCTCACTGGAGCTGTTTCCAACTGCTGGTTATGGTGGCAGGAGAAAGGCCAAAGGAACAGGCTACCCTTAAGAGCACACAGTTTGTTACTAGTAACAGTAGACAAACGACCCTGCCAACAGCCACATATCAACTGAGGCAACAGAGGCAGGCAAGGACAGCTGGAGGAGGGGGGGGGGGGAAATCAGGGAGTGCACCTCAGCAAGGGCAGCAACCGAGAGGGAATCAGGGGCGAAAGAAACCTCCATATCTGGGACGGGGTTCGACCACTGAAATGGGAGGGAATGCAGTGACAGTCAGAGGGAGGGGGCGAGGAAGAAAGCGAAACCTCCTTACCCGCTGGAGAGGAAGGAGGAGAGTAGCGAGGCTTACGTTTCTGACTCGAAGAGACAGGCGTTTCAGTAATAATGTACCTGGCGACAGACTCGATGGTCTCAGCAGAAGAAGAGGAACGGGAGCAAACAACACGAAGATTGCTGGGAGGATGATGGATATCAGCCTGGACAGACAGGTGGCGTGGAGGGTCAAGAGACTGGGGGGAGGGTCGGAAAGAAAGAGTGGGGGAAGATGGGGAAGAAGACAAAGGAGATATGGTGGACTGGGTAGGAAAGGGGGGAAACCTCAGATGGAGAACCGGGAGGGAGACCTTCCGGGACAGGGGGCAAAGGAATAGGGGAGGTGGTGGTGGGTGTGGTCGGGTTTAAGGCCTGGAAACGGTTGCGAGACTGAGGAAGACGGGAAGGACGAGGAGAGGTAGAACGCAACACACGAGCGTAGGATATGCCCGCGAAAGGGTTGAGACGACAAACTTGGCGTCTCGCTTCAGGAAAAAGATAGATGATCACGGTGCTTCAAGTTGAGGACGGCTTCCTTGAGTTTGTAGTGCATACACGAGCATGGGAAGGTAGGGTGGGCTTCACCACAATTGAGGGCTTCACCACAATTGCACTTCTCCCCAGGCAGCGAGCCTGGGGAGAAGTGCACTCGGACTTAGAATGACTATCGTCCCCACACATGGGGCATACATACACAGTACTGGTGCATTTGAGGACACCGTGCCCGAACTTCCAACACTTATTGATAAGTCTAGGAGAGGGAATGTACTCCTGAACGGAGCATCTGGCACCAGCAAGAATAATAGAGGGCGGAAGGGCCCTACTATCAAAGGTGATTTTTACAACTCGAAGGGGCTGACGGTGATGACCACGAGGGGGTCGAGTAAACGTGTCCACCTGGAGGACAGAATGACCTTGGGCTTCGAGGATATGTTTAATATCCTCATGGTAATCTTTGAGGTCCCGAATACCAGTTGCAACATGGTGTGGGAGGAGAACAGTGCCAACACTAGCACTTAACCGAGCGTTTTTGGAGACCCGAACAGGGGTCTCTTCAATGCAGGACAAAGTGGCTAAGCGAATAGCTGCATCCTGAGGAGCAGCAATGACACACGTACTGTAACTGGCGGAGTTAAAAGTAACAGAGGCATCTACTGAATCAACAAGGTGTATATGGAGGGAGAAATCATCAGGAGTAGAAGAATCCAGATGGTGGAGATCAAAGTACTTAGCCCATGTAACAGGGCCAAATAAGGCATTGTATGTATTATTACGGGAAGGGATCGTGCGAGTGCGGCCGTGGCGGGGACGGCGTTGAGAACCCCCAGAGGGGGTAAAAGGCGCAGTACAGTAGTCACAATGAGAGACGGAGCCGTGCCAGGGGACGAGGTGGTCACCACTGGGGGCTGGGAACTCGACCCTACCGCAGAGGAGGGAGGGGAGAGGAGCTGAGGAGAGTAGCCAGGTCGGGGCCCAATGCAGCGGGGGCTACAGGGCCTGGTCTTCTAACACAGTCCGACTCAGGGGCTTGGTCGCCCACCCCACAAGACTGAGAAGGCACAAGGGAAACATTATCTGCCATGAAAACGAGGAAAAACTTTCATTCGCGAATGTGCCCCCACACCCACCATGGAGCCACAATTAGAGGCAGGACACCCAACAAGAAGCTACCGCCGATCTTGCCGGGGGCCCCCAGGGGTGCGTCGTGAGTATACGCCCCACAAACGCCACCTTAAGAACTGTCAGTCCGTCGAAAGCGGGTTCAGTGACGAAAGGAGGATTGACATTAAAAGGGTCCCCTTGCTCGAGACATTGGGTACTACAGTTCTACGGGTGCAAGAGTATGCCTCCTCAAACACCCGGGCGTCAAAACAAAAGGTCGAAAGAATAATCAAAACAGGCAAAAGGTCGGCGGGAAAGAACAATTTGATAGGAAAAGAGGGGGGGGGGGGGGGAGAACAATGAAACATGAGGAAAAGGAAAAGGGGTCTGGCAAAATTGGTAAAGGCAGCAGCAGGAGCATAAGGCTACAAAAGGACAGAGAACTGACCCATGGAGCATCACACTCCGGCAGCCGACCACCAAGCCCCCTAACGGCGGCAACGGGCCAGACAGTGAGGGAGTAACCAAAACAAGCAAAAGGTCGGCAGGAAATGACAAGCAGATAGGAGAAGAGGGGGGAGAAAAACGAAACATAAGGGAAAGGAAAAGCGATCCGGCACAAATGGAGAAGACAGCAGCATGACCATAAGGCTACAAAAGGACAGAGGACTGTCCCATGGAGCATCACACTCCGGCAGCCGACCACCAAGCCCCCTCACGGCGCCAACGGGCCGGATGGGGAGGGGGTTACCAAAACAAATCGAGGTGTTGGCAAGTCAATGAACGTATTTTGGAATGGGTCCATAGGATTAACTTGCAATCCATAGGAATTTCAGTAGAGGTTTGATTTTGACTCAGTGGTGGTGGTTCCAGAAATATTTTTCTGAAAAGGGTTATGACATATCTCAGTTTATTGAGTTAGGTTTTGTATGAAATTAAATAGAAAATCTTAAGCTAAAGTTGGTTCTGGGCATCAGACAGTTGATGGGCTCTTCATTTACCCATGGGACATACTCTCGAGGCCTCGACAAGGAGACACGCGGGGACACTAAAAAGCCCCGAAATCATCTCAAGAAGGACAAGAAGCCAGTGGCTTGTCAAAGCTCCCCCTATTTGTCCTGATTATTTTATCAAGTTAGATTTTGAAATGTAGCCGTTTTGGCCTTTACAGGTTTGACGGGTAGGCAGTTTTATGGGTTTAATACCCTATGGTTGAAAAAGCATCTCCTGTTTTGTCCTACATTGTGGTTTGTTGACCTTGAACTGATGCAGGTTAGTATTCAATTCTCAAATGTGTATAGTGTTAAATGGTGCCTAATCACTTTGTGCCATCCAAGTGATTAGGCACCATTCCTTTCCTTCATCCTATACTAAATCCTTATCCTTGTATCCCTTCCAAGAGTTAGTCATAATGGCTTGGTGGCTTTCTCCTGATAATTACCTTACCTCCTTGTTTGTTATATCTAACCTTTTTGTTCAGTGTTTTAATAGAATCAATGAGATCAGCCATATCATGTCTGATTTGCATTGTTAGCTGCCTTGTGGCCCTCAACTGATCCTAGTATGACAGCCAACTTAGTTTTGGAATGATCTTTGATGCCCAGTGTTGAACTTTCTCCAAAGCAGATGTTCTGAACATGATGTCTCCATGCTTTGATTTCAGGAAGCTTCCTCATAAGTGTGAGAGGTGCAAGTATGCAATCTTGTCCCATGCATTATGTATCATTTATCTGATGGTTCTTGGAAAGGAATATTGCCTATAACACTTTACTGACTACCTACCACCTGTTACAGTGTGAGCCACATCACAAATGTAATGATTCATGTGCAAGAAGAGAGACTAGGGGCCAAATAAACTGTTGATGACATTGCAAGGTTATAAATCCATGGAACCACCTATCCACTAAAGCCATAAATGCCAAAATTCTGCCAAGCTTTAAAATTCAGCTTAAAAAATCATCAGGACAAAGTGAAGGGACCCTTGACAAGCCCGTTGCTTCCTCATCGAGGCCACTAATGTTAGTGGCCCTCGGGTAAATTCAGGTAAAATCTTTACCAATGCAACTTAACACAAGATTATCTTTATGAATACTGCATGTGTCAAAATTTCCATTACAGGTTAACCTAACAAGGAAAACATACTCATCCCAAGATCAGAAACCAAAATGCTGCACCCAGCATTTCAAAATTCTATTACATAATATGACTCCTCCATTAAAATCAAAAGCATCTTCAATGGCCTAAATTTACTTCAGTTATTAGTGGTATCATAAATTCATAAATTATTAATGAACAAAAACAAGTATTTGCATGTATACATAATACTTTATGTTTCAGATAAAATTAAGACAGCTTAAATTAGGAGCAAGGTGAGGAGCCAAGCACAAGGACAGTCACCAGTTTAGGGTGGAAGGTAAGCAGCCATGCATAAGGACAGTCACCAGTCTGGATATAACACATACCTCCTCTACTGTGAGTGGCAGGATGACTCGACTGAAATTGCAAGAGGATATAAAGTTAAGTCTTTCATAAACAGCAGCACCCTAAGTAAGGAAGAATAACTGACATGCCATTAATATCACAAAGCAATTAAGAAGCAACATCAGTATTATTCATTTTTTTTTAATTTAATACATTCCAAAAACTACAGTACAGTATTAATCTGAAAGATTTCAACAAGAACTCAAATCACTTCCAGTAGTTCAATGTGATTTTGTCTATATTTTGAGCTGCAACTAGGACTGAAACATACATTTGTTACTTGTGATTTCATACTTACAAATACAAAAATGTGAAGCCTAATTTAAGTTTCTTTTTTTATTTTAATTTCACCTACAGACAGCCATGCAGACACTAATTTATCATAATTTTTGTACTGCCTTACTAATGCCAGTGAAGTAACTAGGGCAAAGTCACTAGTATTCAGCATCATAACCCAACGGTGTTCAACTCTGACAAATATGGAAATACAGTACTGTACTGTAACAAATTTATGGATGCACAATAGTATGTATAAGCAGACTTCTATAAAATGACATCACTGTTGTGTCTAGATTCAACACTAATCAAAATATAAATATATAATTATTATATCCATTACAAAGGAAATGCATGAGCATAACCATGGACAATATAATATACCCACCTTCCCTTCAAAACTATTAGGCAATATTCCTATGATCAAATATTTTGTAACAAAGTTTGGCCACCACGTGGGCAGATGTAGGCACAGCCCAAAAAAACACACGTCTGCCAACAATTTTAGTGGCGTTCTCCCTGAACATTAAAGATCTGATATTAATGTGTCAAGTAGCATGATGCATCAGCATGAAAGGGTGGCATTTTTTAAGTGATTTCTGGATGATTTTGGCAGTAATTATCAGCACGTGGGTTTGTGGTACTGGTAACCAGCTATACCATTATTGTAGATAATGCACTTTTTAAAGTGTCTACGCCATATTCTGTAGTTTAACCACTGTACTGGTGCTCTGAGAGTTATTTTTTTTTAATTAGGCTACATTTTAATGTTTTTAAATGTTTTCACCACTGTTTTGAAATGAAAATGGTCGCGTTTGGAAACATTGACGTTAACTTTATCTGAACATTTATAAAAACAAAAATATGTCCCTGACAATTACACTATGAAGTTTTTGCCGAAACCAGGTGCGCAGTGCAGTGGTTAAGGGGCCATAAGATTTGTTCTCGTTTACAGGCAGCGCAAGGCAGTCTTCAACTAATTTTTTTTTCTAAAACGGCGCAATTCAGCCATTACCATCATGCCTTGTGGTTACTTTGTGGCAAGTCCGAGGATCAATGTCCCCGTGGCTCGGCCTCTGACCAGGCAAACTGGTTGGTGGTCTCGTCAACCAGGTTGTTGGACACGGCTGCTTGCAGCCTGACATTAATATCAGACTGGTCGATCAGGTCTCTCTTATAGGTGCTTATCAAGCTCTCTTGAACACCATGAGAGGCTGGCTAGTTATGCCCCTAATATAATTACCTAAGTGTAATTACCTAAGTGTAGTTACAGGATGAGAGCTACGCTCGTGGTGTCCCGTCTTCCCAGCACTCTGTCATATAACGCTTTGAAACTACTGACGGTCTTGGCCTCCACCACCTTCTCACTTAACTTGTTCCAACCGTCTACCACTCTATTTGCGAAGGTGAATTTTCTTATATTTCTTCGGCATCTGTGTTTAGCTAGTTTAAATCTATGACCTCTTGTTCTTGAAATTCCAGGTCTCAGGAAGTCTTCCCTGTCGATTTTATCAATTCCTGTTACTATTTTGTATGTAGTGATCATATCACCTCTTTTTCTTCTGTCTTCTAGTTTTGGCATATTTAATGCTTCTAACCTCTCCTCGTAGCTCTTGCCCTTCAGTTCTGGGAGCCACTTAGTAGCATGTCTTTGCACCTTTTCCAGTATGTTGATGTGCTTCTTAAGATATGGGCACCACACAACAGCTGCATATTCTAGCTTTGGCCTAACAAAAGTCATGAACAATTTCTTTAGAATATCGCCATCCATGTATTTAAATGCAATTCTGAAGTTAGAAAGCATAGCATAGGCTCCTTGCACAATATTCTTTATGTGGTCCTCAGGTGATAGTTTTCTATCTAGAACCACTCCTAGATCTCTTTCTTTATCAGAATTCTTTAAAGATTTCTCACATAATATATAGGTTGTGTGGGGTCTATGTTCTCCTATTCCACATTCCATAACATGACATTTATTAACATTAAATTCCATTTGCCAAGTGGTGCTCCATATACTTATTTTGTCCAGGTCTTCTTGAAGGGCATGACAGTCATCTAAATTCCTTATCCTTCCTATTATCTTAGCATCATCAGCAAACATGTTCATATAATTCTGTATACCAACTGGTAGATCATTTATGTACACAATAAACATCACTGGTGCAAGAACTGAACCCTGTGGTACTCCACTTGTGACATTTCTCCATTCCGATACATTGCCTCTGATTACTGCCCTCATTTTTCTATCAGTCAGAAAATTTTTCATCCATGATAGAAGCTTACCTGTCACCCCTCCAATATTTTCCAGTTTCCAGAACAACCTCTTATGTGGAACTCTGTCGAAAGCCTTTTTTAGGTCCAGATAGATGCAGTCAACCCAACCATCTCTTTCCTGTAATATCTCTGTGGCTCGATCATAGAAACTGAGTAAATTCGATACACAGGATCTTCCAGATCGAAAACCATACTGTCTGTCTGATATTATATCATTTCTCTCTAGGTGTTCTACCCATTTAGTTTTGATTAGTTTTTCCAATACTTTCACTATTACACTTGTCAATGATACAGGTCTATAATTGAGGGGGTCTTCCCTGCTGCCACTTTTGTAGATTGGAACTATGTTAGCCTGTTTCCACCCGTCTGCTACGATTCCTGTACACAGGGATGCCTGAAAGATCAGGTGAAGTGGAATGCTGAGCTCAGATGCACATTCTCTCAGAACCCATGGTGAAACGCCGTCTGGGCCAGCTGCTTTGTTCTTACCGAGCTCCTTGAGCATTTTTTCCACTTCGTCTCTAGACACCTCTATGTGTTCTATGTTGTTCTCTGGAATTCTTATTGTATCTGGTTCCCTAAAGATTTCATTTTGTACAAACACACTTTGGAACTTTTCGTTTAGTGTTTCACACATTTCCTTTTCATCTTCCGTGAATCTATTTCCCATTTTCAACCTCTGAATATTATCCTTTACCTGCAATTTGTTGTTTATGAATTTATAGAATAGACCTGGTTCTGTTTTACATTTGTCCGCAATCCCTTTGAGCATGTGTTGAAAAGTCTTGGGCCTTTGATGTTGATAGAGCTCTAAGTGTGACCAGTGGAACCAAATTTTCTGTAGCCTCTATGTTGTAAACGAGATACGCATTCCTGAACCAGATAATCAACATAAAACCCAAATCTTTGGGACAATTTACGAAACTGCTTTTTATTTACTTGGATTGGCAGACTTGTCCCGTTTATCAGATTTTTTGCTTTTTAAAAAGATATAATTAGAGGAGGCAGTAAAAGGTGTGGATGCACGGGCACTGGTGCCCACTTTCTCCTGTTTGCTACTATTGAGGCCCTTTTCCTTGATAAACAACTAAAATGGTGCATTAGTAACAGTCATGTGGTGACTTAAAAATTGTTTCATAGCAGGATGAAAGGGCAAAAAAAATGGGAAACTAAGAGGCTATTTGTAAAATTTGATCGTAACATGTTTTAAGGGCAGGGACCCACTGTATAAGTACTGTACTGTAATGAAAGATTCCTAGAAACTAATCCACTTCTAGTTTTTGGATACCTGTACCAAAATTACAGTACAGTAATTGCAAATCTCTCCAAATCCACTAAAAAATGCCACATACACCATGAATATCTTGCATATACCATAACGGTTAGTAATTTCAGAGAAATGAGTTGCCGAACATGGGTGTTCAGTTTGAGTCTTGAGACACATGGTAAGCAAGCAGAAGAAAAAATGTTACCAACAAATATAAAACAAACCGAGTACTGTGTACCGACACACCCTGCTATCATGTCATGCAATATCAGATCTTAATGCTTAGCAGTTCCCAAGAATAAGCCTGCCTGCGGGCCTCTCCAAGCAACAGCCTAGTGGACCAAACTCTCAAGTCAATGACCTCGGGCCAGGCTTGGGAGAGTAAAACAACTCCTAGAACCCCATCAAGCAGGTATCAAGCTGCCAAATATTCCAATATTTGGTTAAGGTCTCCAACATGAATACTAGTCTTCAGAAATCCACAGGACTGAACCCAATCCGGAATTAGGTTTGTTATTCTAGGAGTGCTTAATAGTAATGATGGTACAGTAGTTACACACCATAATATATTAAACAGGGAACTTCCTTTAGAAATGGGCAATATCTGGACACTTGTGTGACCAAATTTTCGATGCCACCAGTTTTAATTAATCTTTGCATTTGTTCTGCAAGTACAGCATCCATTCTAATTTCCTTTTATAGAACAACTCAATATAAATACCATCAATTTTGACGTTTTTTACTGCAAACTTTTAGTCAATCATGAATGTAAATGACCAGCGAGTTTATGCTATTCTTAAAACCCCCACAGCAACTATATTCTCTTATCATTTAATTTTTTTTAAGGAAACAGAATTTCCTATTAAAGCAGGTGGCATTATAATAATGGTTTCATCAGAAGATGGCTGGTAACAAATCTATCTACCCTATATCAGCAGCCAATTGAAGTTAAAATACCCAGTAATTAAAAAAACAACCTCTAGTGACCTGTTTTAAACATTATAACATTTTACTTTAAATACTGAACACTGAAACGCCGTGTGTTTGCGCGAAGCTCTGTGCTTATTAGTAGCTTGAGGCATTGTATGTACTACCTCTATCTATAAATTCAACATTATGTTTGTAACTCATCTTCTATGTATGTACTTTTAGCTGAATAAACATTTGAATTTGAACCCCAATAATACATGGTGAACTGGCAAGATGACAAAGCTAATTCTTAACAAAGACATGTACATTATGCCACTAAGATCTTTATAGTACATTGGAGAAATAGCTTCAGCAGACCTCCCAGAGCCCAATGACCATTACCCTAGCTGGTCCAGCATGACAGTTAAAGCTACAATCATCAAGTACAGGTTCAAGCACCTCGGCGAGGCCCTGCTCATATTTCTGGGTGACCAACAAATAAGGTTCCTACGGTTTCCAGAATTAAGACCAAGATGAAAAGTTTGTTTATAATGAGCACAGGATCCGCTACACAAGTGCCGAGCAGTTAACATGCAATCAATGGCATTGTTGACATGACTAACTAGGGATGGTTAGTGAAGGCGGGCAGGGAATGGCTACTCCTGCTTAAACCTCCTCGTCCACTCAGTCTACCCACCACACCACCACCACCACCACCTACACCAGGTGGTATTCCCAACCACACTGTCCTTGGCCCAATTTTTGACAGGACACCGGACTCCATTGCCTGATAACAAATGCCTAACGGGAGAAGATGCTCTCCTCAGTGCTTATATTGACCCAGCTCGGGGACATTAACCAGTTTCCCTGCCGGGAAAGCCCTGGCCGGGGGCCTGGCTCTCCAGACAACACCACCGCCGGTCCCCTGACGCCCTCCCGCCCACAGTTAACTTACAATTCTTTGACGAGCATTTTGGCTGGCGGTGTTCACACATGGGGTGGTCCTGACACTGGCTCTTACGTCACGAGAGGACAGCACTGGGCCCCGGAGCGGCAACTCCCGCCCCCGCCGCCTCACGCCCCGCTGCCACATGTCGCCACCCACGCCACCGCCGCCACCACCTCCTACTCACACTCTCTAATCTTTCATATTTATTTATTTCTATACAAGAAGATACATTGTACATAGTAATGATGTTGATTTTACATTCTTGTAAAGCCACTAGCACGCATAGCGTTTCTGGCAAGTCCTTAAACTAACAGATAATTTTAAGTAGATAATTTACAGTAAAATTGACAAAAAATGTTTACAGGTACATTATAAGAAATTTTGAAACAATAAACAAAGATTAGGTGAATACACAATAATAACAAATAATTTAAAAGATAATTTACAGTAAAATTGACAAAAAATGTTTACAGGTACATTGTAAGAAATTTTGACACAATAAACAAAGATTAGGTGAATATACAATAATAACAGATAATTTAAAAGATAATTTACAGTAAAATTGACAAAAAATGTTTACATGTACATTGTAAGAAATTTTGACACAATAAACAAAGATTAGATTAATACACAATAATAACAATACACTAGATTCCCGCGCGAGGGTCAGCCATCTTGGCGCGCGGATTGAACGCTCCTGGCTGGGTTTCCTTTCCTCACCTCATCCGGAGCTCATCTTTGAACTCAGCTGGCTTCTTAGCTAGTTTAGTTCATTTATTATGCACCCCATACCCATCTTGTGGGAAGTAGTGGAAAGGGTTACAGAGGCACATAATGGGCTCAGAGACTGAACCCCCATAACATAATGCCCTTGCGCCACCCATAGCTCTACTGTTCAACAAATCCATAGTGTCATACTTTCCCTGATATCCTTAAAAAAGCAAGAGTAACTCCAGTTCATTAAGGAGGCAATCCGCCGGACATAAACAATTACAGACCAATATCAAACCTACCCATTCTATCAAAAATATTTGAAAAAATTATCTCAAACAGCTCTATTCCTACCTCGTGAAATTCGAAATTCTCAGCCCCCTGTCAGTTTGGCTTCCAGTCCCAAAAGAGTACCAATGATGCAATTATTAGTCTCCTTGATGTAATCTACTCAGCCCTTGACAAAAAATGAGTTTCCAATTGGTCTCTTCATTGACCTGAGAAAGGCCTTTGATACTGTTAATCACAACTACCTCTTACTTAAACTCCAGCATTATGGACTCCGAGGCCTTGTCCTGGACTATATCCGATCCTATCTTAATGACAGACACCAATGTGTAGCCATCAATGACATAACCTCTCCACCCTATCATTAACCGTTGGAGTGCCACAGGGCAGTATCTTGGGACCTCTCCTATTTCTTATATATATAAATGATCTGCCTAATGTCTCTAATATTCTTAAACCTATACTGCTTGCTGACGATACTACCCTCATTTATTCAGACCCCAACCCACATACACCATCCACAGCTAGACCCCACAGTCAACTGGAAGTGGGGGATAAGGAACTGGATCAAAATGAGACAGATCACAACCTCAGCCTCCCTACCACCTCGCCCACTGTTCGCTCCACTGTTCAAGCAGTGGTTGCCCTTCGTGACCGGTTGCAGGAACACCAGCAGCAGTCACAGCAGGAGATGGAGCGGCTGCAAGAGCAACTCCAACATGAGAAAAAATCCACCAGCAATATTTCGATGATGGTCACGTGTATGAGGAGACTTAAGCAATAACTGCCAAACTTTCCCTGCTTCCACCCCTGAACCCTCCAAACATGTGTTCGCTTGCCCATCAGGTGAAACTTCTAGTGATCTTGAAATCTTGTGTAGTGGCGTCCTTCAACACAAGTTAACTGCCAAAGTTGTGCTAAAGTATGTTCAAAACGACTTTATAGCTGGAAATGACCGACAAATTGTACTAGACAATTGGAGGCAAATGTGTGACATTGGTAATAAACTAAGAAATGTTCCTGAACTTATACCGTAGTGAAATAGATAATATATATATTAAGTGGACCAATAATATCAATATATAATGCTGACTTTAAATGCACAAATAACTAAGTTATCCATCCTTAGCCGGAACATTGCATCCCTAAAAAAAAAGTTTCTCATATTTACATCACAAAGTAACAACTGAACACATCAATATTGTATGTCTCCAGGAGTGCAGAGTTCCCACAAGATCCTCACCCCCGAAATTGCCCTCATTTGTTTCTTACAACAGTAACCTCAGATCCAGTAACTCTTGCATTCTATACATCAAACAATCCCTACCCCATCAACTTCTGCCAGAAAAACAAACTGCCGGTCAACAGTATCATGGAGTGAGGATCTATGTGGGCAACTCCGTCCTCAATGTATTTAATCTATATGCTCCAGCAGGAAAGTTAAATTATATTGATCTTCCGGCCTGCGCTCAGAGCCAACTATCATTCTTAGTGACTACAATGCTAGACACAAGGACATTGGTGGTTCTCGCTTCAGTATCGGTAATAGGAATCAACTGCTGTCGCTACTAAATAGTCACCAAGATGTGCAGATTGTGGGCGACCCTGAACCCACGCATTTTTGTGGAGGCATTCTAGACCTCTGTGTTGGTTTCAACGTCTCTCACGTCTGGTGCACATCATCTATTGTAACAGATTTGTTGTCAGATCATCACCCTAGATTGACTACTCTATGTATAGGAAATACCATCCTGCCCGGTGGGACTTTCAAACGCAAACGGCTCAGTGTTCCTCCTGCTCGACGTGAAGACTTTGTTGCTCATGTGTCAGAGTGGTACAGCACTTATGATCCCTCCACAGTCCAGACATTTAATGACGGTCTAGTACAGAACATTCAGATGTTCGCTGACCCTTTAGGTCGGCCCCCTGCACCATCCAATAGTCGGAACGATATGAAAGGTAATAAACACCATGCCTATTACAATGACCCCAAACTGCGTACTTTGAAATGCACTGCCAGACGAGTTGGATTTGCATATAGGGAAACACGTACGCCAGCAATGCTCAAGCTCTTTCAGAAAGCCCTAGCCAAGGCGAGGGAGCGCATGACAGAGCTCAGGCAAGATAACTGGGAAACTTTTGTTAACAGTCTCAACTCTCACCCCCCCCCTCAGCCAGGCATGGAAGGATATTAAAAGAATTAAAGGCGATAAGATCGGTCAAGTAGCACACCCTCGCCCTCTACACAGAGCAAACGAGTTAGTCGATGCTTGGGCAACCACCTCTAACCTCTAGCTTCAATAATCTTCCCCAAGACACACAGTTCAGATTAAATGCTGGTTACGGAGATCGAGAAAGGCTCGTTGGCTTCATGCTCCACAAGGAAGATGAATGCAACGTGACATTTACTGAGTTTGAATTACTCGCGGTCCTAAACAAAGGTAAAGTAACATCCTCCGGTGAAGATGGTATCACTTATGACATATTACGTCTGCTCCCTTTAGTACCAGGGAATCCCCTGCTTGAGCTGTATAATATGAGCTATGTTACTGGGGAACTTCCTATCTCTTGGACCAACAGTATAATCATTCCAATTCCCAAGCCAAATCAAGAGAATGCTTTCCGCCCAATTTCCCTTACTAGCTGCATTTGCAAAACATTCAAGAGAATGGTGCTAAACCGTCTCCTCCATAGAATAAGAACCATGCTATTCCCCCAGATATATGGCTTCATGCATGGAAGGAGTCTGCATCATTCCATCACCACCTTTCGTACCCTGCACACTGAAAAGTCATATACCACCTTCCTAGATCTCAAGTCTGGCTTTGATATTGCAAATAGACATGTTATCTTGAGTGAGCGTGCAAGAATGAATATTGGTGGTCGGCTTCTTTCTTGGATCAGGGGTTACTTATCCAACAGGAAGTCATCTGTATTTTTCCAGGGGCATAGGAGTGCAACAAGAGACTTTGAACTAGGTACCCCGCAGGGAGGTGTCCTCAGTCCTACCTTATTTAATATCTTAATAAACACATACGCTGTTAAACTCTGTACCGAACAAACCCAACGTCCACATCATTAGCTATGCTGATGATATAATGATACACACCACTGGGTATGCTAACACGCAGAACACTCTTAACTCTGTATTAGACTCATGTCAGGACCTAGGTTTAATTATCTCAGCAGAGAAAACAAAGATACTAAATCGGCGCCCACCCAGGCAGGGAGGAGCTATTCGCAAGATGCAACTATCTGATGGCTCTCAGCTTGACTATGTAAACAGATTCAAATACCTTGGCCTTGAGGTGCCACTGTATGGTCCTGTTGTATTCAGACTCTGTCGTCAGTATAAAGAGAGGCTCCGAGCTCTCAAGGCTGTTGCAGGTTATCACTCAGGCTATGGTGCCAATGTCAGAATTGTTAAAATGATGTACCTTGCATACATCAGATCTTTAGTGGATTATGCTGCACCTCTGCTTGTTTTGATGCCTGAAAGAAAGCTTGGAGGGCTTGAAAAATTGCAGAACGAAGCCTTGAGGATAATCCTTGGGTCCCCTCATACCACAAAGATACTTAATATGAGAAAGGAACTTAATATTCCGAGCGTTGTTGATCGTGTTATTGAAATTAACTGTCAAATTGGTATAAAAATGCTTAGGCTAACTCATCCTAACCCTTGCACAGAAGCCCTCCAGAATTTCTTTATTGAAGATCAGCATTGTTCCAAATGGATAGCAAAAACTGGAACTCAACTCAGAATGTATCAGGTTCATTATTTGTACCAAGAGAAACAACAACGGCACTTTCCTGCACCGTGGGAGGTTACACCCTTTCCAGTTTTAATCCCTCCCTTTTCACCCAAGAAGCAAATTACAGATCAGTCCAAGCTTCGTCTTGAGGCAAAGCTCAACGCCGTAAGCCATATTGATGCTCTGTCCACAGAGCATTCTCTCTCTCAAATCATATACACTGATGGTTCCCTACACCGCACCACGGGTGCAGCTGGAAGTGCAGTTGTTCTGACAATGGGCAATGGCTTGTACTTTGAGTGGGGAGTCCGTATAAACAACTGGACCTCTACTCTTCAGACTGAACCATTTGCCTTGCTCCTTGCACTGAAATGTGTGGAAGTCTCCAAACTTGATACATTAATTGTAAGT